GGCTCAAGAGAATGTAATAGTAGTCTGGACCGTAGTAGTTGTAGTAGACCATCATGAGGATCGTCTCGCGGTGCACGTCCTTGTTGATTAGTAGTTGACCACTTTCGGTTGAGCGCCTCGACTGAGATGCGACTTCGGGTATGGCGGCGATGTGGTAAAAGTGCTCCGAAATGGACTGAGCCCAGAAGTCGGGCCAAGTGACGAGGCCGTGGGTCGTGTAAGGAGCAGTTTTAAACAGTCCGGAGGGATCCTGCGAGGGAAAGGCATCGCTGTCGAGGAAGAGGACGTGCTGGAAGGACGAGAAGAGGATAGCAAAGGCCTTGTACTGGTAGTGCTCGGGAGCCTTTGCGTCGGCGGCAGTGTCGTAGATGTTGGACAGGACAATGCAGCGGGCGTTGAGCGAGGGGAGGACAGTGTCGCACACTGTTGCGTCGTACTTGGACCAGTCGTCAATGAAGACTTCCATGGGCAAGTCACATCCGGTGCGGCGGAGCATGCGCAGTGACACCAACAAGATGGGCATGTACTTTGCGTTGGCCGTGGTAACGATACCGGTAGTGTCTTTGGTAAAGGGCACGTGGGGCGCGAGATTCGAGGCCGAGGTGCGCATAGCATAGTGGGCTCTGAACAAGGCCGTCTCCTCGTTGTCGGTGAAGTTGACCAATCGATTGGGGTGCTTCTTGTGGGGCTCGAGCGGGACAAAGTTGATGAAGGACTCGAAGCCCTCGTCGTCGAGTTTCAAGGGCTCGCATTGGGGTTGGGCGTCGAGCAAGGCCGTGGCGAGCTCCGACCAAAAGTGCTTGACTGGGGCGCCAAAGGTGGAACTGGCGGCGGTGATGTTGTTGCCTGTGAGCATGGACATGTGCATGCCGACGGAGCCATAGTATTTGCTTGTGAAGAAGAGGAAGCCGCTAATGCAGAAGAAGAGGGGGATGACGAGCAGGCGCGGGATGGACGAGTGCGAGGTAGTGAAGAGCATTGCGGGGGGGGGGCCGCGGTCGAGGGCGCGTGGGTGTGTTTGTTTTGGGTTTGTCGATGGGAGGAGGAGAGGGACGGGGAGCCAGTGGGGAGATGGGACAACAGGGACGGCGGGCGGGATCAAGGTAAGATGAGGGCGAGAGGAGGGCGAGAGGAGGGCGAGATGAAGGCGGAGGAATGGGAATGGAGGCTGTGATGCCACTGAGGCTACGGCGATAGCGCGTACAGAGGGCTGGAAATGAGGAATGGCATGGGTGGGATGAGTTGGGGTGGGCGGACATGGACCGACGACCACGACGAAGGATACGAGCGGAAGCCACTACTCCAAACGGGCAGGCACGCCACGGCGGGCAGAGAAGGCGCGACCCATGGCGGCAGCCAGCCCAAGGCCCATCTCGACACTGGTGCGTGGTGCTGCACTATGTTACTTACTATATGCTGACGGCGCTCCCCGTCGCCGTGTTGCGCGGGCTGGCTGGTGCTGCGCCCCCTAGGCGTCGTTGGTGTAGTATCGTGTACGACGGTGTCGCAGCCGTGCGTGGTGTCTGTATGGGCCTTGTAGCAGCCGGCGGGCGGGTGCTTGACGAGTGCTTGATGTCTTCTGGTGTGCGAACAAGCCTTTTGCCACGGGCTAGCGCATCGGCTGCTCAGCCCTCTCTGCTGCTCTCTGGCGGCCGCGAGAGCATGGCGCATGGAAAAGGAGCTGAGCAACGCCCGGGTAGCGGTTGGCCATGGATGGATATTGGGAGACACAAAATTAGAGCCGCTAGCTGACTGATAACGCACTCGCTGCGTGGCGACGCCCCGCGAGTGCGACAGGGCGGCCCCTGCTCCCGCCGCAAACGGTTTCCTGTATTCATTCATCCCACGTCCAACCATCCATCCCCCATCCATCGCATCCTGGTCTCACCACCACCCCCTTCGCCCGCTCCATCGCACCCACCGTCGACGTAGCAGTAGTACTTATATAGTCGCGCACGCTGCCTTCCACCCGACCCCGACCCCTTGGCTTCCTCCCCCACCCCTAACCGCCATGCCCTCGAGCGCAAAACACTGCGAAGAAACCCTAAAAGGCCCAACTCCCCATCCCACGCCCTCACCGTATACTACACCACGTGTTGCATTCCATGGGAAAGAAAAAAATTTAGCGCGCATAAGGGGCGCGTCCACAGTGCCACTTTAGGTGGACTGTGACATTCGGAAATTGACCCACACAAGTGCGCCACCATCCGTTTTCTCTCTCTCGAGCGCGCCCTCTTTCTCTCTCTTCCCCCCCCCCATTCTTCCACTCTCCCGCTCTCATGACCGGTTGAATGTGTGCTGTATAGCCAAAAGGGCCCCGCCGTCGTTCTGGGCCCGCCCCTCAAATTTTGCCTTTTTCCCTATCTTTTGCCAATACTCGGTAGGCGAGGAATGGGCATGTACATACTAATAAGCAGTAGTGTATAGTCAGCATTGGCATCTTGGATGTTTCGCTGGGCGTCTGTGTATTTCAGAACACGAACAAACTCCCTATTGGTGGACACCAGTCGCCATGTTCCGCGTCCTGCGAATCCAAGCACAAGCCAGCCGTGTTTTGTTCCTGGCGGGAGATTGTCATATCTCGGGTTTAGCGCTGCCATTTGCCCTCTCCACCTGGTGCCGCGGCTTCATCTCATCTTGTACATGGAGTGCCAGCTAGCATGGATTTCTACTAGCACACACACACACCGCTCCATGTAGTTCCCACAACCTCTCCCGTGCAACCTTGCACAAACAACACCAACAACAACAATCTTAACGCCGTATCGCACGCGTGTACGTCCATCCTCGCGGGTCACTCAAACTCCCGACGTTGCGCTTGTGCTTACTGTGCGGGGCCGAAGAGTCGCCGTCTTCTTTCGCATCTCACACCCATCTGGTTAATGATAGTTAATGATAGTAGCCCATAGTCTACCGCTTTTGGATGCTCTCCTCGCCCCCAAATGACCAGGGTCCACGTCTCCAACACCACGACGCCCCCATCCACACACACACAGCTACATTGTGCAATGCACATGTCCCGTCTCACACTGTGTGCCTCTTTGATTCTAAAAGCTGATACGTAAATTGCAAATCGCAGCCTCAGATTAATTTTGTTTTGAAAAGCTGGGCGGGAATGGGAACTGAAGCAAAAAAAAGTACAAATTGGACGGGTTAGCAATGCGCGCACAGGGGGGGACAAGGGGGGGGGGCTTTTGTAGGAGAGAGCTCTTGGATCTTTGGAGACGATTGTTTTCGTGTGTAATGTCTGGGCCTTGAGCTTCTTCTTCTTCTTCTTCTCCTTCTCTCTCTTTCTTGTGTCTTTTTTTTTCTCTTCTCTCTCTCTCTCTCTGACATTATCGACTGGGGCTTGCCCTTGATTTCTTGTCTTTCTCTCTCTCTCTCTCTCTTCTTCGTGTTTCTTCTTCTTCTTCTTCTTCTTTTTTTTCTTTCCTTTCTTACATGGTACAAATTGAAATTAAAAAGTCGAGGGTTTTGCATGGAAGGGGGGTGGGTTGCAAATGGATATTAGGGTGCGGTATGTGAAAGGAAAGGAAAGGAAAGGAAGGGAGGGAGGCAGTTCTTGTTCTTGTTCCTGTTCCTGTTCTTGTTCTTTGTTAGTTTTTTTTATGCGTAGTTGGGGGAGCAATGTTTGTTTGTGGTTAAATCGTTTTTTTCCTTCTTCTTCTAAGCCGTAAGGTTTAATACGTCTTCTAATAATTTGGAGTTTGTTCGTCTGTTTTTTTTTTGTTTTTTGGTTTGTTAGTTTGCTAGTTAGTTGGTCGGTTGGTTACTTGGTCAGTTAGTTAGTTAGTTAGTTAGTTAGTCAGTAGTAGGGTTCTGTAGAAAAAAATGGAGAAAAAAAAAGTTCTGGTTTATTGTGGTTGCAGACTAAGTAGTGGTGTTGAGGTGCGTAAATGTGTGTGTGTGAGAGAGAGCAGAAAAAGACTGGATGAGGAAAGGAGAGGAGAGGAGAGAAAAGAAGAAAAATAAAAGAACTGATGTGTGTGTGTGTGTGTGAAAGGAGAGAGAGAGAGTAGAAGGAGATTATATCCAAGTGTGACAAGATAAGAGAGAGCATCAGCATCAGCATCAGCATCAGCATCAGCAGCAAACGTCCGACATGGGGACTAAGCCATGTAAGAAAGACTTTTTTTTGAATCGTGTCAACGGGGGCGAGGGCGCACCGTGATGTGATATATGTGTATGCGAGATAGTAAGTAAGTAAGATCCATGGTTGCCTATAACAAAAGTAGTAGTAGTAGTAGTAGTAGTTAGTCTGACTTGTTTGGTATACGCGCGATACGATACGATAACATATAATATATAATCTGCTGTGGTGTGTATGGCTGTGCCCCTCTATATCCACACACACACACACACACACACACACACATACACACATACATATCCATACCAACGAGTCCATTACATGTACACAACGAGTCGCTACTCATTACACAACAGTCATTAATTTTCTTATTACTTTTTTTTCTTTCTTCCTTTTCTCTTTCCCTTGTTTTTTTGTTTTTTTCTCTAATACTAGAGACCTGTACGTTAACTGTTATATTAGCCGGCAGATTATGCTTAAATATTACCCCTGCTGGAATCACCCCCTTCCCCCCTTACGTGAGGTGAGCACTCTAAACATGCGCATATAATGTAATGTATGTAAGTGCCGACTGACGACGACGACGACGACGACGGCGACGCACGTGCGATGACAATGATAATGACAATGACAATGACATGGAAGGGGGTAAAGGTAGTTATCCTCGTACATACATAGTTTGCCAACAAGCTAGCTATTATGCACCCTTGTTGGTACGCGCGCGGGCGGAAGGGGGGGGGTGGCTTAGGGGGGAGGGAAACGTTATGTTACTTTGTGACTTATACGTGCTAGTGCGAGTGAAGAAAGTAATTACCGGGAGACCCGGATAGGAGTTATGTCCGGGGTTTTTTTTCTATATTTTTCAAGTCGATCCCCAAACACCCCCCATCCAAGGTATCGAACTCCGTCAAATGAGGTTTTTTCCGTCTATACGCATCCGTGCCGTAGGTAGCCTGCAAATGCCACGAATCTCTTAAATCGACCGATGCTGTCAAACTCCACCAAAAGCCAATCTTGCCCACGCCAGCCTTATCCGAAGAAACCATCCCATATCAAATTGCACCTGCAAGATCCGCGCTCCAGATGATCGATACCTATGTACGAGTGTATTTATGCCGGCGACTTGTTGGCGGGGTTGGACACGTTGCGTCGGTCATCGTTCATCGAGAGAGAGCCAAAGCCGGTTGAAAGGAACGCAAAGGGGTCGTTGCGCCCATCGCCCCCGCCATTGGGAGCTCCCTGCGCAGGATACGCGTCGGCAGAAGAAAAGGCAGCCTCGGCCGAGCGGCTGTCAAACGGTGTTGAGTGCATGCCGCCGTTGGGCACGTACTGAGCACCCATCGGAGGGTAGGGGCTAGCCGCACCCATGCCCGAGGGCAGAGCATACGAGCTAGGAGGTCCACCATACTGCTGAGCTGGGAAACCGCCACCGCCATAGCCAGCAGGGCCATAGGGACCCGCACCAGGAGCGGCGCCCATCGAAGGAGGGCCCATACCGAAACCGGAGGGAGTGTCCATAGGAGAGGGGAATGCAGAGTCGGCAACAACGGCGGCACCAGCGCGGCTAGCGCCACAGCGAAGGCAGGCAGTGTTCTTTGCAAAGTTGTGGTATCCACATCCGTTCTCACCGCACTTCCAGTCTCCAGCGCGGAAGGGGACAACACCAGTGCCTCCACGCATGTGTCCGCCACCCATTCCGTGGCCATGGCCGTGGCCCATGTGGTGCTGAGGGGGACCCATCATGCCCGGGTGGCCTCCATATCCGTAACCACCGTAGCCCATGGGGTCGCCGCCTGGCGGGCCCTGCTGCATCGCGGGGAAAGAGCATCGGAAGCAAGCTGTGCGGCGCTGGAAGTTGGAGAAGCCGCAAGAGGGGCAGTTCCAGTCACCGGGGCGAGGGCGGTTCTTGCTAGGAGGGAATGGTGTGATGATGTCTGAGGCACGATCGAGGACACGGGTGGACGAGGGCGAGACCTCAATGGCCTTTTCGTTGAGGGCGCGGCCATTCATGCAGAGCGACTCGGCAGCCTAAACATAAAATGTTAGTTAAAGCGAATGGTGAAAATGACCAAGACTACACGTACCTCTTCGTGAGAAGAGAAAATGGCAAAGCCAGTGCCGGTGGGCTTGTGTTGGTCTGGCGTACGCAGAGTCCAGAAAGCGATTGGGCGACCGCCAAACTGAGTGAACCAGCTCTCCAGCTCAGACTGAGTAGTGTCGTGGGGCAGACCGCTCATGTGGAGGACCTTGCTGCGCTCAGACAAGAAGGCGCGTACGTCAGCCCGAGCATCCATGGGCTTAGTAAGGACGTCGGGGTGGTCCTGGGGCGGTTGCGACTTGCGGATCAGGCCACGCAGAACTCGAGCAAGTGTAACGGCCTCCTCCATGGCCCGCCGCGGCGAGGCGGGGGCAAGAGCCTGGAGGTGAAAGGGCAGGTTGTGCTTGATGGGCGCCGAAGACTGGACAGGCTCCACTTCTAGAGCCGCACAAATGTTGGTCAGGGCGCTAGAGCCAAACGGCAACGACTCTGGGTGGTGTGCCTGCCAGCGCTGGTATTCGGTGCGCAGATCAAATGTACGCGAGTGCTGAAGGTATGGGGGCAGAACGACGGCCTTGTCCCTAGCCTCACGCGGCAGCTGGACACGCAGGTCCCATGAGTCGAGCGTGACAAAGGCAAACTCGAGGTTCTTGGGGGCAATGTGCTCGGTGTGGAAGTTGTTGAAGCGCTCGATTGCGTCGCGGAAGGAGCCGGCGTTGCGGACCTGGTCCCAGGTGAGGGTTGTCAAGCTGGCTGTGAAAAGGGCCCCAGTTAGCGGGTGTTGTTTGTATGTGACCGGGGTCAGGAGGAGGAGGAGGAGGAGAAGCAGCAGCAGCAGCAGCAACACAACGAGGGGCAAAACAAGGGCACATACTGCACAGGGCCGTAATTGGTGTGTTGACGGGCTTTACCAGGACAGACTCGCGATGCAGCTGGAATTGAATCAGCAATTGAGGGCCAAGCTCGGGGTTGGCCAGCCCACCTCTTCGCACGACTTTGCATCGAGCAGAATCCAGCCAAGCTCAATGACCTCTGCCGAGTCCTTTGTAACGTAGACGCCATGCTCGTCGCAGGTCGTGGCTACATGGATGACGACGTAGCGGTCGAGGTTCGCGGCCTGGGGCGTGGGCGTGGGTTGGGAGGCCATAGCAGAAAGTCTGATCAGAGCACGGTTAGTATGGGTATGCCTGGGGCAGTCCAGCTATCAGGCGGCGGGGCGGGCGAGGTTCGATGCGGCGGGCGAGGTTCGTCGACGAGGAGAGGAGAGAGGACGAGGGCTGTAGACGCGGCGGAAGTACGAGGGAGAGGTTCGCCGCGAGTACGTCAGCGGGGGGGAGGGAGGGGAGGTGAATGCGGCAGGGTGAAGTGAAGTGGGGAACAGCTGTCAAGGGCACAGCGAGTGAAAGGGGAAAAACAAAAGCCTCGAGGTGAATGGCGAGGCGAGGTTGGGGTGTCCCAGCGAGATGAAACCAGGTGCTCTGAGATGGGGGACGGACGACCTGAGGCTCCGTGCAATGATCCCGGAAAGATTTCTTGACGTGGATAGCAGAGCTAGCTTAAGGCACAGCACAGCTTTGAAGATCTTGGCGAGGCTCGAGGTTAGGGTCGAGCATGTCACAGAGCGAGCATTGGGGGGCGGGTGCAGACGCGGCCGGGCTGGCTGCGCGAGAGGGCGAGGGAGAGGTTTTATTTTTTTTGTTTTAGTATTTGGGAGCTCTGGCGGTCGTGGATTTTTTGTTTTGGACGAGTTCCACGGGTATTTTTGCCGTGCCATGGTCCCTGGGGGACGGGCAGGCGCTGTTCCGCACGTCGCCATTGGCAGCCATGCACCATGGCATTTGGACGGCCGTGCCAGGCGATAACATGAGCAATGGGCTGAGCAGCCGCTGTATGTACACGACGAGAAATAGGGCATGCCGGCACAGCCATTTGTACACTTCCGAAACGCCTGACGTCCTCTCATTACCGCCTCCACGCGTCTGCTGGCGGCCACGACCCGCGCAAGCTCCGCAGCCGGCCGTGCAGCGGGCGCCACGGGGATGGTTCTTTTGCGGCCGGGCGAGAGGGCGGTCGAGTGAATAGGCATGAGGGGAGTGTGAGCGTGGGCGTGGGCGTGGGCGTGGGTGTGTGGTGTTAGTAGGGGCGGGACGTACTCGTACTAGTTGGCGGTCGGGAATAGTGGTGGCGCCGCCAGGCCAGTCCTGTCTGTCTGTCTGTCTGTCTGTCTGTCTGTCCGTCTATCCAGGGCAGGGTCCAAGCCGGCCAGCTGGCGCATCGTGTATACATATGTATGTGTGCAGCACATATTACTACGTCTGCAGCAGTACACACATGGATGGATACATATATAGCATAGAGGAGCGCCGGCACAACGGGGCATCCCGGTGGCGCCCTTGTGGGTGTGTGTGGGTGAGGGTGTGGTATCGATGAGCGGCACAGGGCCGCACAACACACGCCCAAGGGGGCCCACAGCCAGCAACCCGCCATCAGTAGCCACTCACTGGACATGTGTATATATATACACACACACACGCATGCCATGTGTACGTACATACATGTGTATCCCACACGCCGCCATCCACACATATCCATCCACCTACATGTACACGGCGCCGCGCAGCCAAAGGCGCCGCCGCGACAGGGGCCAGCGGCGTCGACCCCTGGCGATCTGCCCTGGCGCTTGTTCGCGGGGGCCACGTCAGCACGTGACCTGAAACTCTCAACCGCACCGCTGAGAATGGGGGGCATACGGCGGACGATCTCGACGCTGAGCTGACACGGCCTTGCAGCCACAGCACTGGCCCTGTCAGCTTCTAGCACCGACATGCGTAGCAGCAGCTGTTCGTTGGACGCGCGCCGTGTCCTTTACATAGCTGTGCGAGGGCTGCCAACCCCTTAAACTCCTGTCGCCGCCGCCCCCCCCCTTCTGTCCTGTCCTCGCCGCCGCCCCTCTGCGAATTTATGCACCTGGCCCTCCCTACTGGCACACGGCCGCTTCCACGCCCCGGGGAATTTGCACTGGCCGCCTGCGCTCCCAGCCCACAGCCCTTAGCTCGTGTCGCTATCCGTGTCATTCGGGTCCGCCAGCGTCACCAAGCATGTCTTCTCGGCAACGGGGCTTCTCGTCTTCCCCGCAGGCTGCGCCAAACGGACGCGAGTGAGTATTCACCCTACCCGCTTTTTGAAACGGCGGACAAAGCACTCCACTCGCAATATCCGCCGCCGCCTCCTCCTCCTCCACCTCCACCTCCGCCTCGACTACCCTTCACTCTTCTCCCGACCGCGTCCATGCCCTTGGCCTCCTAGTAACTCTTTTTTTGCAGACAGTCTCGCGGCATCATGGGCTTCTTCAAGCGCTTCCGCCGCAACAAGACGTCAAAGAAGAGCGAGTCGCGTGTCCGCAACGACCTCTACGCCCCCGCCATCCCCGAATACCACGGCCCAGACCAGTTTGTGCGCCTGCCCGACAATGTCCTGCGCCGCATATTCGAGCATGTGTGCCCCCATTCCGCCGACGAGTCGCTCGACGGAAGCGAGGACAGTGGCAACGACGGCTGCATGAGCTGCGACATGCGCGACCTCGCCCATTGTGCCCTGACAAAGCGCCAGTGGTACGGTGTCGCCGCAGGCCTGCTGTACGTGCTGCTTACCCTATCCCGACCTCGCCGCCACGCTTGCTAACCTGCCTGCAGATACAACAGCATCCGCATCGACGCGGTGCACTACTGCGAGCTCGAGGAAATCTACGCCGACCAGCGCCGCCGCAAGTCGCGCAACGGCGATGAAATAGACGCCCCCACCCTGCGCCTCCAGCAGCTTGGCCAGAGTGTCCGCGGCAACCAGTACCTCGGCCAGCGTGTGCGCCTCATCAAGCTCCCGTACATGACCCGCGAGGCCTGCAAGGCCGACCTTGCGCGCACCATATCCGGCTGCCCCAACCTCGAATACATCGATCTCCCCGACGGCTTCTACAGTGGCGACCAGTCGTGCCAATTGCTGCGCCAGGAGCTGCAGGCACGATGCCCGCACATCCGCAAGATGAAGTACACCGAGGGTGGCGAAATGGCGCTCGAGTCGCTTCTCCAGGGCTACTGGCAGGAGCTCATTTCGCTTGAGCTGCACAAGATCAACGTTGAGCCCAGCATCCTGAGACAGGTTTTCGGCATGCTCCCGCGGCTCAAGGAGCTCACCATTACCGGCGCCCAGTGGCTCAACGATTCGACTTTCCACGATGCTCCCGGAATCCCGCCCTTTCCCGCCCTCGAGACCATCAAGCTGGACAAGTGCAACGCGGTAACTGCAAATGGGCTGGCCCATTTCCTACACAACCCCATGTGCAGTGCCAGACTGAGGACACTTGTACTCAAAGGCTGCGCCGGCTTTCCCGTGGCCTCTCTGCACGTTGTCCTCAAGGCAGCAGTCAACCTCAAGACACTCGAGTACACGGCCACGGTGTCTGTCTCTCTCCCGCTGGACCCCATCCCGCCCATGACCTCGTACACGTTGCATAAGCTCAACTTCGAGGTCATCTCCGGCTCGACCAACCAGGTCTACTCGCCCTGCTCGTCTTACTACCAGTATCTAGCCAATTCGCTCACGTCCAACTCGCTGCCAGCCCTACGCGAGGTTTGGGTTCGTGATCCCGACTTTCCAGAGATCCTCACGCTTGTGCCGCCTGTGCGTCCGTTCAGCGAAGCGCCCCCGGCCTTTTTCAACCAGCCTCTCGAGGTCTATTCCAAGGGTCTGGACGAGCTGGACTGGATCTTTACTTCCATCCTGCCCCCCGAGGGCGCGGGCCGTCGAGCGTCCATGTCGCAAAGCCGGCCATTGAGCAGCTATTCGGCACACAAGGGTCTGGGGCCGCAATGGGGCGGAGATGCCCGCAAGAGTATAGTGGTACCGAACGGGTTCGGTGGGTTTTTGGCCATACCGGCTGATAACGACGGAAGGCCAAGGAGCGCGGGTCACATGGCGCCTAGCGGAGGCTTTGGGCATGGCTACTCCAACTCTCTTGGTGGCAATCCCCGTGCCAGCTGGATGTCCCACGTCGGCCGCGAGAAGCGGGCTTCGAGGGCGGACTTGTGGCGTTAGCTGATCCCTTTCTGGGCGCACGCCATGCATGGAACGGAGCATCTGGAGCATCTGGTTACTGACATGTGTCCCCCTTTACTTTCCCTTGTCCTCCCTTCTTTCTTCTGGATACCCGTCCATTTCTTCTTTTTTTCTTCTTCTTTTTCCTCTTCATCCATCATATCTGTAAGATACCAAGAAGGTTTTTTTCTTTCTTTCTCCCTTTCTTTCCTTTGATTCTGGGGTTCACGGCTAGGCTATGGTGCGGCGCACCTCAAGGACGAATTATGTATGGCGACTCAGGGCAGAACCGGGTGAGCGTCGGACAAGGATAACCTGAGGTGAAGGATCAAGTTCTCCATGGTTGGCCGAGAATTTGTACATACGAGAAAAAAAATACCACTAGAGTGCCCGAATCCACGAGACTGGATCTCGTATCTATAGCAGCGTGTCCCTAGCTTAGTGTTGTGATTAGCCGCTTTTTGCGTAAACACGGACCTGCATATGTAGGCTTTTTAGCCGCACTGCAATGGTCTCTCTCTCTCTCTCTCTCCATGGTGGCATTACTCAGGCACGCGCTGTCCTCAACCGCCGGCTCAATATGCATGTCCAATGTCATCTTTGCGTGTTCATTCCCCAGGCCAATGCTCCGACTCCCGCAGACCGAGCCCCGCACCGGCCTGGCTCCATGCGCCCCTCAGTCCGTCTGGACCTCCCCTTTCCCGCCGTGGCCGCGTCCTTTGTGGGTTTTACGAGCCAATGCTTTGTGTGTGTGTGTGTGTGTGTTTTTAGCGCGTACAGAGCGGGCGTCTCTCCAGCCTCGGGCACGGTGGAGGGGGGGGTAGTGGGTAGTGGGTGTGTGTATGTCCAGGTGGTATTAGTATGGGCACATGGGCGTGGGCAGGCGGGTAGTCGGCTGCTGGTTGTCGACAATTAATTCCACAAGTCCAACCACGCACCAGGGCAAGGCAGGCAGCCGAAACATGGCCCCCCGTTTCCCCCCTCGTGGACTACTGGATGCTCGCTGGGGCTGGAACCTCGAGGGAAGCGAGGAGAGAGAGCCACACGCAGGCACGACCAGCCTGCGCTGAAACCAAGGCAGGTCGGCCGCCCGCTTGGCGGCGTGCACTAGGACTAACAATAGCCCTCGCGTGACCCATGGGCGCCCACTGCCAGCCACACGCCGTGCCTGAAACGCCGTGCTTGCACGCCCGCCCTGGCAAAGCATCCTGCAGATCTCCATGTTGTGCATTGCATTACTCAAACAACCAGGGCGCGGCACCCGACGAGTGGCTGTGGCTGGTGCCGCCTCTTCCACTGTTGCCATCACCATTACCACGGCCACTGCCACGGCCATGGCCATCCTGAATTCTCTCCGCCCTGCGCCCGCCACGCCCCCATCATGGCCACGTCATTGATTCAAGCACGCGAGCAGTCCGAGTACTCTACCTCTCGTTCTGCCCCTTGCGTGCCTTGCTTGCTTCTTCACCTCACCCTGCGTATCGCCTCTGCCCTCTCCCCCCCGACTCACTCGCTCGACGTGCTCAAAGGGCTTGCTTCCCATGTCCCTTGCCTCGCAGACCCCACGCACCAAGACGCCCGTCGTACAGCGTTTCCCCACACCTCCATGGCCACTGACATGATGCCCTCGGCGCCGGCGGCGGCTGATGCAGCTGCCGCATCAACCCAGAAGATGTCTCGCTACAGGAGCGTGAGGCGTGCCCAGGAACAGCACACGAGACCGCCCGCACACTGTTCGCAGCACCACCAGCCGTCGCATCCAGCGCCCCTTATGCCTGCTGTTCCAGACTCACCGCCTCAAAACGACGTGTCGCTCAGCAGGAGCATGAGTCGCTATCACCGCCGACCCGTGACCTCGCACGCGACCAGCCCGCAACCCCCTCTGCAACGCCTGAACCCAGACTCGGATGATTCAGAGCCTCCGCTGCCCCAGTCGCCGCCTTCTGCTTCCCGATACCGCACCCCAGGCTCCCCGTACCACTCGTCACATGCTGCCAATACCGCCCAGCGCCGCCCCAGGTCCTCCAACGCTCGCGGAGAAGCATCCCCCCCGCCCAGCGATGCGCCCAGGCAACTGTCGCTCAGGAGCGATGACAGCGCCCGGGAAATCCTCGCAAAGGAAAAGGAGCGCCAGCGCCAGCTGAGAGAAAAGCACGACGCAGATGCGCGCGCGAAGAAACAGGCCCGCCAGGCCGAGCTGGACAGGGCCGAGAAGCTGCGCCAAGAAGAGGACGAAGCTGCGCGCCTGCGAGAACAGCAGCGAGAGGCTCAAGAGGCCGCCGACGCACGGCGCCGGCAGAGAGAAGAGCAAAAGGCAGAACAGGAGCGTGGAAGGCGACTGCAAAAGGTCGACTCCCGAAAGGCTTCTCAGTCCAAGGAAGAACGACAGCGGCAACCGTCAAGGGCACCACCGCCCTTGACGTCTCCCACCGTCTCTCCCCCGCGGCAGCAAGATGTAGGCGTCGGCATGTTCAAGAGGAGAAAAGACGACGCCCTCGGCCTCGATGCGCCTGCACAACTCGCCCCCGCGCCGCAACTCTCCCTCAGCCTTGACAGCCACGCCGACGAGACGATTCGACCGGGCGGAGGAGGCGTAGTACGAAATATCGATGCACCGACGTCAGCTGTGAATGCTGGTGACAGGGTATGTTCGTTGCTTCTTCGGTGTAATAATGCGACTAACAGAAGCGGCAGCGCGTTACCGTGGTTTGCAACAAGAAGCGCATCTTGCTACCAGTCACCCCTACCACTACGCCCCTGGACTTGATCAAGTCTGCTTCCACAGTCCTGACCGACCCCATTGATGTGCGTACCGCCGTCATCTCCGAGTACTTTACCAAAGTCAGCATCACGCGCCCGCTGCGCAACTATGAATATGTGCGAGATGTCATGAACTCGTGGGACCACGACAATCAAAACGAGCTGACCATCATCGACTCGGACGTGGACGGAATCAACCAGGATGACTTGCTCGCATACAAGGTCCCAGAGACCAGGCCCGAAGGCATGTCATGCTACATTCAGTACTCGTCGCGACCCGGCAAATGGAGCAAGCGCCTCCTTACGCTGCGTGCTGATGGCCAGTTAGTCATGGCCAAGAACGAAAAGACAAAGGAAAAGGACCTCGAGAACATCCTCACACTCACAGACTATGACATCTACACGGTCACGCAGCAGAAGCTGGCCAAGGTGAAGCCGCCCAAGAAGATATGCTATGCCGTCAAGAGCATGCAAAAGTCGAACATCTTTGCAGACGAGTCGCAATACGTCCACTTCTTCTGCACGAATGACCGCGACACAGCCAACCTCTTCTACGGCGCTCTGCAAACGTGGCGCAGCTGGTACCTCAAGCATCAAAAGGGCGAGGGGCAGAAGAAGAAGTCGCCGGCGCAGCGTAACATAACTGCCGAAGCACAGCAGACATCAGGTCATTCGCGGGGCGAGTCGGTAGGCTCACATTACCAGCTCGGCGCTTTCTCGTCGCTTCTGGACATGGACAGTTTCAATAAGAAGCTGGATGAGATTGAAGTGCACAAGCCCGGCGAGTTCCCGGATGACAAGCCTCTCTCCAAGCTGGATAGCAGAGCCATGCACACGCGGAAAAAGTCGCTGCGGGCGAAGAACCCGCCTCCAGCAGCTTTGGGCAGGAGTGCAGCGAGTAAGGCCGGCGCGTCGCAGCCCATGTCGCGGCAGACGTCTGGACAGCGCAGCTCCGACGGCAAAGAGGACGAAGAGTTTGCCTCTGGTGGCCTTCTGGGCCGAACCTACACGGAGCGGCAGGCCGCCGCCCAAGCGCGGGAGCAGGCGTCGGGGCCGTCAAGCCCATTTACAGACGGGCCGTCACTGCTGAACAACATCAGTCGTCTGGGACCGCCGATGAGCGACAGTGGTGTAAAACGCAGCACTTCGGTGCGCAGCAATCACCATCGGAGAACGTCAGGCGAGCTCCAGCGAAGTGCTTCGAAGCGCGTGCCAGGCATGCCCGAGCCCTTGGTTGATCTTACGCCGACGTACCGCCCGCCGCCACAGCACCTGAACAAGGGCAAAGGGTTCAATCCGGGGGCGGGCGCAGGGCCGCTGGTCGAAAGCGCAACGTCAATGGAAGAAGCAATCAAGATCCCCTCGACATACCGTCCGGCGCCGCAGCATCTCAACAAGGGCAAAGGATACAATCCAGGGACGGGTGCCGGGCCACTTGTGGAGAGCGCAACGTCGATTGAAGAAGCCATCAAGATCCCTTCGACGTATCGCCCGCCGCCGCAGCACCTGAACAAGGGCAAGGGGTTTACTCCGGGCGCGGGTGCAGGGCCACTGGTGGAGAGCGCCACGTCGATTGAAGAGGCAATCAGGGTCCCTCCGTCGACGGATTGGCGCGCGGGTCGCCCAGGCACATCGCGGGCTGCTGGGCTGGACCGCACACGGTCGCTCAAGGGCCGTGGCGAGCCTCTTGCTGCGCACACCAAGAACAACCACGGAGGCATTCCCGAGGATGTTAGCAAGGCGTTTACGGGCGGGGGACTGGTGTCTCAAGCGGGCTACTCTCTAGGCAGAGACAGTGTGGGCAGAGGCGTCATGGACGGCAGCAAAGCCAAGGGACCAATGGTCAACCTGGCGACGAACAGCCAGTTTGCTGAAGGCAGCTTGCTGAGCGGGTTGCCGGTAGCCCCGCCGATTATCGATCGCAGTGGTGAGGACTAGCGATTGGGATGGTTTGCGGGCGGAACCATTACCCAAACGAGCCATGGGCGTATGTTTCTTGCATGCATTGTGATTTTAGCCTGATGTCCTCTCTCTTTTTTTTTATGTGTTCCTTTGTTTGCGACATGTGTTATGTAGGGCGGTCTACATGTCAACGGCCTGGTTGTCCGTAGGGATAGATGGTCGGGACTGATGGCGGAAGAGGCGGGGTTGTTTCTTGTTTACGGCCGATGCAGACGACATTATAATGAAAAGCTTTGAGATAATAGCAGCATAGCGGACGGGGGTCTAGATGCGACTAGCTGGAGACTGAGCGTGTAATACGACCCCAACAGAAAAAAAATATATCCTTGTCTCACACAAAACGACTTTTTTTTTCTTGCGCCATACTCGGCGGTGGTGACCTGGGCTTTGGATTTGAGGACGGAGTAGATGCCGCCGACTGCGGCAGGTTAGGGCGTTGCGTCATTTTGGGGGGGGGGGTTCAATTCGGGCGAGAAGCTACCTCTGTTGGCGACTTCTGTCGCAACCTCGAACAGAATGTGGTTCTGCACGTCTCGCGCTCCCGAAGCCATTGCGGGTGTTGGAGTAAGCTGGGTGGTGTGAGAGGACAATGGCGGGCTCGGGCGAGGTGTTTGGGGAAAAATAGAGAGCTGGAACAGGGTCAACGGAGCTTGAGCTCGGTGCTGGGTTAGACTGCTGCGGGCTGTGGCGCTAGAGGGGCGGTTGGATTACTTGGCTGGGGGGAGTAGGAAGTATTGGTCGCCAACAAGGTTGTGGTGCGGCCGCAGATGCAGTTGAGTCGGTGGGAACAAGGTCAACGGCGGGCGGCGTGGATATAGGCGGAGCGGTATTGGAGAGTGGCCGTGGAGCGGAAGAAGCCCTCGCGAGACGCTTTTGTTTGGGTGCACGAGCGTTGGTTAGCCTCGACGTGGGGAGGGATTGGGATTGGGATTGCCATGCTCATGCTCGGCCCACCGCCCTCCCACTCTCCGCGCCCCAGGGCGACTGTTCGCTTGTCGGGGATGACGTCGTCGGGCCCTCGCCGTGCGCCGCCGCATACACGCAATTTGCAGACGGCACATACACATCCAGCCACCGCGACAAACACGCGCAGTGGCAACGCCGGGCAAGGTTTTCTTCTCCGCGGCTGGCGCCCAATGGCCACAGTGAGAGCGCAAGGCTGCTGCGAAGACGGCCAGACGCGCGAGTCAACAACTCAACAGATTCGCGTGGAAATGAGAAGCGGAGCATCGACCGATCCCTTCGGGCTGCTGGCTTCATGCCGACTGCCCATGGCCATGTGCTCGATGCGCCTCACAACGGCGGCGGGCGAGGCGCAAGCCCGAAAGGCATCATGCTGGATGCACACGAGGCCCGCGCAGCCATATTTGCATCTGAAATGCCGCAGCGGTAATGGTACATACCGTGGCCGGCTCCAGCTCTGCTGCATTGCTTCGTCATACGGCCCAAGATTGCGGGGTTCCCGCCGGACGGGGGTTTGGGGGGGGGCCTAGGCGGAGGTAATACATCCACAGACTTGGAGGCGGAGACGGTCACGTGAAGTCACCGGCACGCCGCCCCCCCCCCCCCCCGCTAATGCGCCAGACTCTGCTTGCACCCGTCCCATCCCATGCGCAATCTACCCAACACCACACAATACCCCCCCAGTTTTGGATGCGTATACGCTCTTGGGCCCGTGGAACAGGGCATCGGTAGGCGCGCCACATGCTGCTCTCGCACTCGCCGGTAATGCTCACAAAAGTCGTAGGCGGCCGTCGAAGTAGAGCCCATTGTCCCCAAAGACCCCGCGTTGCTGGCCACCATCAAGTCCATGGACGAGCGGGGCATCAAGACGCTATACGGACGCTGGCTGATTGACGGTGCCCCGCGCGTGCTCCTCTTCGACACGGGCACTGGCTACAGGTGGCTCGACGAGTGGAAGGGCGACCTGTGGTCTTCGACAGGCATTCCTTCGCCCCCAGGCGATTCCGAGACCAACGAGGCCATTGTCTTTGGCTACCTCATTGCATGGTTTTTGGGCGAGGTAAGAGGGAAAACGTGGGCAAAACCGTCATTACTTGCGCTAATTGGCTTGTGCAGTATGTCTACCATGAAAAGAAGCGGGCTGTCATTGTCCAGTTTCACGAATGGCTTGCAGGTGTTGCGGTCCCTCTGTGCAAGAAGCGCCGCATCGACGTGACGACCATTTTCACCACGCATGCCACACTTCTCGGCCGCTACCTTTGCGCCGGCTCAGTCGATTTCTACAACAACCTCCAATATTTCGACGTGGACGCCGAGGCAGGAAAGCGCGGCATCTACCACCGCTACTGCATTGAGCGCGCCGCTACACACGCTGCCGATGTCTTCACAACCGTGTCGCACATTACGGCCTATGAAAGCGAGCATCTCCTGAAGCGAAAGCCCGACGGCGTATTGCCCAATGGGTTGAATGTCAAGAAATTCTCAGCCACGCACGAGTTCCAGAATCTGCACCAGCAGGCCAAGGTCAAGATCAACGACTTTGTGCGTGGACACTTCTACGGCCACAACGACTTTGATCCCGAGAACACGCTATACTTCTTCACGGCCGGTCGTTACGAGTACAGGAACAAGGGTGTGGACATGTTCATTGAATCATTGGCGCGCCTCAACCACAGGATGAAGAGCGAAAACTCCAACATGACAGTGGTAGCCTTTATTATTCTGCCCGCGCAGACAACATCGCTTTCGGTTGATTCGCTAAAGGGACAGGCAGTCATCAAGGCGCTCCACGACAGTGTCAACAGCATTGCCGAGAATGTGGCCAAGAAGCTGTTTGAGCGGTCTCTGACGTGGACAGAAGGCCAGGAGCTGCCCGAGGACAAGGACTTGATCACACCCGCTGACAAGATCTTGCTTCGCCGACGGCTGTTCGCCATGAAGCGCCACAACCTGCCGCCCATTGTCACGCACAACATGGTCAACGACGCCGAAGACCCCGTGCTGAACCAACTGCGTCGCTGCCAGCTCTTCAACCACCCGTCGGACCGCGTCAAGGTTGTGTTCCATCCAGAGTTTTTGAACTCGGCCAACCCAGTGCTGCCTATGGACTACGACGACTTTGTCCGTGGAACCCATCTTGGTGTATTCTCGTCGTACTACGAGCCATGGGGATACACGCCGGCTGAATGCACCGTCATGGGTGTGCCCAGTATCACAACCAACCTGTCGGGTTTTGGCTGCTACATGGAGGAGCTGATTGAGAACGCGCAGGACTACGGGATTTACATTGTAGACCGAAGGATGAAGGGCGTCGATGATTCGGTCAACCAGCTTGTCGACTACATGTTTGACTTTACCAAGAAGAGCAAGCGCCAGCGCATCAACCAGCGGAATCGCACGGAGCGCCTCAGTGACCTGCTCGACTGGAAGCGCATGGGATTGGAGTATGTCAAGGCTCGGCAGCTGGCTCTCCGACGGGCATACCCTGCGGCGTACGAAGGCGACGAGGAGCCCGACTTTTTCAACTCGCACGATATCAAGATCTCTCGGCCCCTGTCGGAGCCTGGGTCGCCCCGCGATCGCTCGGGCATGATGACGCCAGGTGACTTTGCTTCGCTGCAAGAAGGCCGCGAAGGACTGAGCACCGAGGACTACATTGCGTGGAAGCTTCCGTAAGTAACGACTGTGGTGATTGTGGAGAGACGGTTGCTAACAAACATGCAGTGAAGAGGAAGAGGCCGATGACTTTACCTTTCCGCTTACCTTGAAGACGAAGAGTAAGCCTAACTCAGGCGCAAACACCCCTACCATGACGACTGGAGTGAATGGTACTGACTAGACGTCTTTTTTCTCTCTTGTTGTTTAGGGCGATGAAAGAAGCAAAGATTGTCGAGGTTGTATTGATCTATTCCCTTGTGTGCGAGTTGATATTACGCGCAACTAGTGCATCAGAGGCGGAGAGGCGGAGAGCGAACGGGTGAAGAAGGACTGTGTGGGTGTCCTGTGTGGGCAGCAGGCCCGTGTATTTTAGGAATGAGAATATCAGCGTCTATCAGACCACTCGAATGGCGTGGGCACGGTCCGAATTGGTGTACACGTCGATTGCCGCAACTTCCGGACCAAGAGGGCACATGCGTCTTGGTTGTGAGGGCATTTCTGGCTTGGTGATGCATGCCGAGGGCCGGTGAATGGGCAAGCAGGGTAAGGCGGGAGGTGCACAGCCAAGCTGACGGAGCACGACAGTGCAACTCGTTACTGACGCTTACAGGCATGCCGTCACGACCAGCGAGCAGAAGATTGGCCAAGCCATACATGGGACGTCCGGCGTCAACAAAGCCGGAGCTGGCGCCGACTAGGGACGTGTGGGTGTGGCGCGGCTGGGCACTGAGGCGCAGCGGACGTGCTGCGCCAAGAACGAGAGGAAAAAAAAAGGGCGGTGTTGCATCTGCTGGCCGATGCAGGCTGATGTTTCAGGGCAACAAGCCCGTGAGGCCGAGGAGTTGGAGTTGGGATCGCCGCCGTCAAATCCGAATATAAAAAAGGGCTACTAGCGAGTCAAAGGGGACGACGCTGGGGGGGGGGGGACGTGGGTGGACAGGCGGAAATTGGATGGGGCAAACGAAGAGCTGAGTAGTTTTATGGAGCGAGTATGGGACCAGCAGCGGGCGTCAGAAAGGGCATCAACGGACCGACCCGGTAGCGCGATGGAGAAAAGGACCGTCTGGATGCATGGCAAAGGTGGGAATGGCGGATATGGCTCAAAGGGGGAGTGCAAGCAGAAATACGGGGGACGAGGGTGGGAAGATTTTGGTGGATATCACCAAACGATTGCCGGCTTATCGCGGTTGGCCATGTTTGCCAAGCGGCGTGTCGAGGCCGCGGAAGGCGGCGCGCGCCCAGGCTTGTGCTTGTGCTTGTGCCTGTGCAGCGCATCAGCATCGACTGGTGCGCCCGGACATTTAGTCGACCCCTGCAGACACAGACTGGAAAGGGTGCACATGCAGCAGGCGTCCATCCTACTACATACACATACATACTACTACATACACATACAGACTACACTCCACCACGCCACCTGCCACGCCCACGCCCACGCCCATCGCCAGACTGCCACTACTGCTCCATACACACACACACACACCCTCTGCGCCCCACCACCCTCCCCGCAACGCGTGAGCACCCCAGTTGCGGACATGATGCACGCCCACTGCCCCTCCGCATGCCCGCAGCCGCAGCCATGTGAGGCACTGACGTAGACGAACAGCCGACGTGTATACACTATTTCGCGCTCTTGTCGCCGAGCGACGTTCCGTGTTTTGCCCAAAACACCGCACATGGACGCCAAAGCTGCCGTCTTACATCATGGCACCCCCCCTCCCCCAAGGGAAACAGCTGGGTTTCAAGCTTAGTGACCAGCGCAAACCCTGGCGCCCATGTTTCCGCCATACGGTCGTCTCCTCTCGCCCTCACGATGCTGGCACTGCTGCACTGGCATTGGCACGGCTGGGACATCCAATCCCCCCCCCCTTCGTTCCGCCCACGCTTCCCCAGCGTCCACAGGCAATCATGTTCGGCCCCTGGTTGACCTTGGTCTCGTGTCTGCAAAAGTACACGCCGTCGTGGCTCAAGGCGCTCAAGCCGCACGCCAACTTCATAACATTGCACTGTATGTTTTGCAGAGAGCGCCACGCGACTTGTGTGCTTACAACATGACCAGATGCATACATTATCGGCTGGGCGCTTATTGGTTCCGTCATCATGTATGGCAATGGTCGCATCCCATACATTGATGCCCTCTTCTTCGCCAGCGGTGCCGCGACACAAAGTGGTCTGAACACGTGTGTATGAGCCTCGACACTGGGCGATCGCAGACTGACTGGCCATGCAGAATTGACGTCAACAAGCTAAGTTTGTACCAGCAGGTGCGTGCATGGGCCAGACTGCGTGTGACATGTCTCTAACTTGGGTGCAGATCACGCTGTATCTCATGACGTGCATGTGCACGCCCATCTTCATCCACAGTTCCGTCGTCGTCGTCCGCCTGTATTGGTTCGAGAAGCGCTTCCAGAACATTGTCCTCGAAAGAGGCAACAGGAGTGGTCGCAGCCGGACCTTGTCCAAGGCCAAGAGCGAAATGAAAAACAAACTGGACCGAGACGCTGGACGCGAAGAGCAGGCTGTCGGCGCGCGCGAAATCAGAGTCATGCGCGGTTCCAATGGTCACGCCCACGGTGGCACAATCGAGAATGAATACGCTTTCAGTGACGGACAGGACTCCACTGGAAACGGCATTCGTCCGAGACGATCGAGCTCCAGCGAAGACGAGATGCCTCCATTCGTTCGACCAGAGACTCCCGCGCAAAACCCCGCGGGTATCGTATGGGCAGACAATCTCAACAAGCCCTCGAAACGATTAAGCAAAGATTCCTTGGAAGATTCTCCTGCCAATCGACTTCCCCAGTCCAACAAGGAGAGGAGCATCGCTTTTGTAGAAGCCCAGCGCAATCCCACGGCGAGGAACAAGCTGCGTATTCCAGGCCCACGTGACTTTGACCAGGGTCTCACTCCAGAAGCAGTCAAGGGAGAGGAAGAAGAGTTGGACAGGACTACGAGTCGAGTCTCTCAAGAGTCTCGTCTCAATTCTCCCAGGAACCGCGAACGCTCCAACTCGCTGCCGCATGTTTTGAACGGAGACGACCGGCCGCTGAAGAACCACATCACCATCGATGTCCCGGACAGGCAGCAACGCCCCAATGGCCATTCCGTCTACAGCAGAACAAGGACCAACGACGCTGACGCAAATGGACCTTCGCCATCAATGCATCTCCACAACCGATCACGCACAAGGACTTTTGCTAGCTTCCTTAGTCGGGATAAGGAGGAAGATGAGGATCCAGTGCCCTATCTCAGCTGGACACCTACCCTCGGGCGTAATTCAAATTTTGTCGACCTGACTGAGGAGCAAAGAGAAGAGCTGGGCGGTATTGAGTACCGGGCTTTGAAATTGCTGGCGGTCATCCTTACCGTCTTCTATCTCGGCTGGCACACGATTGGCGTCATCTGTCTGGCACCCTGGATTAACCATAATGCTCATTACAGGGGCATTGTGGAAGCGATTGGTGTTAATCCCACGTGGTGGGGTTTCTTCACTTCGGCGTCCCTGTTCAACGACCTAGGGTTTACGCTTACTCCAGACTCGATGGTCTCGTTCCAACTTGCCATTTGGCCCCTGGTCCTCGGTACCTTTCTTATTATTATCGGCAACACTGGCTTTCCTTGCATGCTCCGCTTCACAATTTGGGTCTACTCCAAGTTGGTACCTAGGAGCAGTGCCGTCTGGGAAGAGCTCCGTTTTCTGCTCGACCACCCGCGTCGATGCTTTACGCTGCTGTTTCCAAGCAAAGCAAATTGGTGGTTGTTCTGGATCCTCGTTATTCTCAACGGTGTTGATCTCATCTTCTTCATCATTCTCGATCTCGACGACCCAACCGTCACATCCCTTTCTGGCGGCTACCGCTTCCTCGCCGGTCTCTTCCAGGCCGCCTCGACGCGCACTGCAGGTTTCGCCGTCGTCAACATTGCCGACCTCCATCCTGCGGTTCAGGTCAGCTATCTGATCATGATGTATATTTCCATCTTCCCCATTGCCATGTCGATACGTCAGTCCAACGTTTACGAAGAAAAGTCGCTAGGAGTCTGGACCGGCGATGACGCAGAGGACGGGAAATTGAGCTATCTGTCGCACCATGTCCGTCTCCAGCTATCCTTTGATCTGTGGTTTGTCTTTTTAGGTTTCTTCTTCATCTCCATCATCGAGGGCCCGCGTCTCGAAAACACAAACGAATACGCCTTCAGCCTCTTCTCCGTCCTCTTTGAAATCGTCTCGGCATACGGCACCGTCGGACTCAGCCAAGGCTTCCCAAACACAAACACCTCCTTCTCCGCACAATTCAAGCCCCTCTCCAAACTCATCATCATCGCCATGCAGATCCGCGGCCGCCACCGCGGTCTCCCCTACGCCCTCGACCGCGCCATCCTCCTCCCCTCGGAAACGCTCCACCAAAAGGAAAACGAAGAGGCCACCAGGAGAGCCCGTCGCGGCAGCAACGCAGTCGACATGGGCCCCGGCATGCCTCCAGGCAGCTTCTCCCGCACAGGCACCATGCTCAGCCGCAGGAGCACCGCCAGCGGCGACAGAATGGTGCAGGAAACTAGACCTGAACAGCTCAAGCGTATCCTGAGCGGTGCGTTTAGTGCCGGTCCTACAGGCTCTTCTTATAGAGAGAAGGCTGCTTAGAATATATATATATATATATGTCTCTGGTTGATCTTTTTTTTTCATCTTCCTGTTTTATACACTTTTTCTTGTCTCTTTTTTTTTCGGAACAAGGAACGGGGGGGGGTTATGGTGTATGTATTTCGGCTGCCGCGTATATCCCCATCTTTCTCACTTTCGGTTGATTTTTTCTCTCGCTGGCGTCCCTTTTTTTTTAATCATCGTCATGATTGAAAACTCACTCCCCCTTCTTGTACGAGAGATGTCCCTTGGGTCCTTTGTAGAGCGCGTGTTTGTTATATAGCGAGCGAGATTTTTTTCCGTTTTTTTTTTGGTCTCTCATCTTTTGGATCCAGCTATCTATCTAGGTTAGAGAGAGAGTTCTTTTTCGGTCTTTTTTCTGCGTAAGTACTCGAGTAGATTTGATAGCGTTTACGTTTGTTTATTTCTGTCTGTTGGACAACCTCCCCCCCCCCTTTTTTTTTAAAAAAAAACCCCCCCTTTCATCATATTCTTGCTGTTGTAGTGGTCCAAAAGTTGCAGGCGTTTGACTCTAAAAACCCTCCAAAAAGCACGTTTTTCTAATACATCAACATCAACACTTTGGATATATATATGTTTTTTTTCTCTTGGGAGAGAGAGAGAGAGAGGGGGGGGGCGAGCGTCGCGAATTTCAATGGCGTTGTCGTTATCTCGTTGTCTCGTTGTTACGCCAAACGTTACAAGTGGGAATGGTGAATAGACGAGAGGTATTCATTCATTCATTGTATGTACTTTTTTTTCTTCTTTTTTTGGGGAGAGGGTGCGTGTTTGTCAAGGCCAACACAGATATACGTACCATCGTTTTAGTTGGTCAGTGTCGTAAGAGTATGGAGCATGAGAATATGTAGAATCACTCGTTAGACTCTTTTCTATTTTATTTCCTTCGCTTTTCAAATATCTTTTCTTTCTTCTTCTTCTTCTTCTTCTTCTTCTTCTTCTTTCTCACGCGTATAATTTGTTGTTGTTGTAAACATTGTAAACAGTAGTACGTACTTGGTATAATATATACTGAATAACCATCATTGTATACACAGAAAGAGAGGAAAAAAACAAGAAGAAGAAAACTCGTGTAATTACATACATGTTGTGCACAAAAGCAAAGCAAAGCAAAGCAAAGCAAAGCAAAAACACTGCATACATAGCTTACTATTCCCGAACAAGCAAGAGAGAAAGATAGAGAGATATAAGTATAGATAGAACAATAAATAAAATGGTATTTCTTTAAAACGCTCATCGCTGAACACGCTTTTCAAAGCACTACTACTTGAGTGAGTTAAAACCAAGCAAGCAAGTCTATACTCGCTATGCACAAGAAAAAAGAAATATTCAGAACACGACAACAACTCATTTCACATGTCCAGCTTTATCCACTTGGATCGTCTCTCTGGGCAGAATCTCATGGACCTTTGTATCGAGGCCAACCCAGAATTTCCGGCCACGCCATTCGACCGTGACGCCGCCCCAAAAGGCCGTGATCCAAACAGGGAGAGCGAAGAACTCGCGGCCAAGCCACGCGAAAAAAAAGTCCTTGAGGGTTCTGCGTGCGCCGTCGAGCAGGCTGGGCTCGGCGGGAGTCTTGGTGCCGAGCAGGGGTTTTGTGACGTCGGAGCGGTGATATGCCTCTGCGGAGCGTTGCGGGAGGACAAAGTCTGGGGTGTCGGCGTCGATTTCAACCGTCTTGGCTGAGTGCAGGAGGAGGTACTGGATGTAGTCTACCGCACACCAGGCACACATGTGGAGGAGCCAGATGAGGACGAAGGACGGCCATGTGGGACTGATGCCGAGCTGAGCGAAGAAAGGGAGTGTCGTGAGAGCGTATGCGCCGTATAAGCCGCAGAGAATGCTTTCAGTGCCCGGCTCGACAAAGGTTGCTAGTGTCACGGTGAACTTGCGCACGCGCAGCCAGCGGATGCGGCGCTGCAGGTAAGCCTCGACGGATGTGTGACTGATGGGTTGGAAGCAAAAATCGCCAAACAGCATTCCGTGCTTGCCCCAAACTTCTTTCTCCGCTCCTGGCTCGGGTTGGTAGCCTCGCTTTTCGAAGGCTTGGGGTTCCTTCCAGAGCACGTCGCCGATGAGGTGGTCTTCGCATATGTTGTCGGAAAAGAAGTCGATTCCGGCAGCGCGTTGGGGATTCGACGACGTGACGTAGTTGAGCTGTGAGCGGCGGAACATGGTGCTCTTGCCCATGATGCAAGGCGCTACAGCAACTGTGTTGATGGCCTGGTAGAATTTTGCGTGCGCGGACGACATAAAGGCCTCGTCCAGGCGCCCTCCACCGCGCTGAAGAAGCTTCTTGACGGTGCTGTTGGAGTAGTTGCGGGGGTCTGAAGCCGTACTGGCGGCGATGTTGGTAGGAGGTGCTGTAACGGCTGATGTTCCTCCAAGAAGCTCCTTTCTGTCGCTGAGCGAGAGGCGCTGCGAGTCGAGGTCTACCGTGAGCGGTGTCTGATGCACGAATTTGTACTTTGTCTTGGGCTTCCCATTGCTGCCCTCTCCAAAGCCGCATAGCAGGTCCACCAGGCGACCACAGACGCCCTTGCCAACCCAGACGTTGCAATCCAGTATCCACACGATATCGCCCTTGGCCTCCCTATAAGCGCGGCTCATGTTCCTGATCTTGGGGTTGGGCCCCAGCGCATTGCTGTCCTTGAGCAGCAGCGGGTCTTCCTCTTCAACCAAGATTTGTACATGGACGTCTGGAAAGTCCTTGCATAGACGCTGGAGGATTGGAAACGCGGGGTCGGACCGTGAGGGGACACAGAACACGGTGTTCAGCCTGTTCTTGGGGTACGTCTGGCGGAGGGTCGCTGCGAGGCACTCGTAGAGGCGGGGGTCGAGGCCTTTAACCGGACGTATGACTGTGACATGAGGGACCCGGTCCTCGTCCATGGTAGTTACGCATGTTGCTGGCTGTGGCTTCGTCCAGTAATAGCGGAACAGTTGGATAAAGCCGATTGCGCAAACATGCCACACTACCACCCACCAGACAAGGCAGACGGTGGCGACGGTGATACGCAACGTAGAGACATCGTCTCGAGTCGCGAAGTCGGGCGCGCGAAGCATGCGCGAAAAATGAGGGTAGAGAGGCTATGAAGGTGGGATGTGACGAATCTCGCGGCGCGGAGGTTGCGGAGTTGCGACCCAAAGCAATTAATTATGTAAGTAGAGATCTGCCAAGACGAAACCACATTGCGTGCACTTGGTGGGATATTTATTCTAGTGCCAGTCACAGAGGCGCTAGAAGCGAGCAAAGACTCGGTGTGTCGAATAATGCGGAGGAGGAAGGGCCGTTTGCTGTTCAGACGTCACCGCCGGTGAAATTGCTCGTTGTGATCAGCGCGCTAAGTGCAACCTCCGCAACTCTCCGACTGCAGACGAGGGACGAGCAGGCGGCGTCAGACCACCCGAGACACTGTCGAGTGAAAATTCTTACGTGTCTTTATTCTGTTCATCTGCGATTACAATGTCGGCTGTATCACGGCATTACGAGTGCGTTGCATGAACCGTACGTTTGATTGTCCAACCAGAAGACGTATACACATTATACAAAAGTTTAAAGGTTGCATCAGGCACAAAACGCCACGCTATGCAAGTCTACGGCCCGAAATTAGTGTAGGCAGACGGTCCATAGTCTGGCTACACAAGCATAAACCAACATCAAAGTTCTCTTGTCTTGGCCCCAACCTCAGGCCTTGGGCTTCTTACGTACCAACCCTGCCGTCAATGTATTCACCCCGTTGGCAGCCCCCACATCAGCAGGTGGGATTGACTCCGTCTTGACCTTCTTACGAACTATGTCAGTTCCCAGTTCTTGCACTGACTCAGCCGACTGTTGTGCCGCATTTGTTGCCTCTGCTGAGGCATCTGGCTTCCTCTTCTTTCGCACACCCATGACTATAGTAGGTGCCGTGCCGCTTGTTAAGCCTGAAGAATCGCCTGTGGACACATGTTCTTTTCTCCCTATCACACTGAACCCCCAGTCGTCCACGCCACCCAACACGGCGATTTCCTCTTTCCATTTCCTTGTGCTTCGTGCTGCTGCGGCGCGGTTTGCAAACATCTGTTGCAACAATACTTCATGTGCACGATCATAGTTCTTTAGCGAGAAGCAAACCGTGCCACGAGAGGAAGCAGGCCACTTCCAATAGGGACTGTTTTCCGGTAGCTGCTTGGCCGAGTTGGACGTATTTGAACAATTCGATAGGTTTGATGAGCTTGACTTGATCTTGGGCAGGACCAAGGGAATGGGCCCGTATTTGAGCCTAGATTCTCTCTTCCTCCGGGTTGTCTTTGGGCGTTTAGGTGTAGAGGCGCTCTTCTGAGATTCATTTTGTGCGACTGATTGCGACGCGGATTGTTGCGACGGCGTATCCTCGTCTTCTTCGGGTATTGCAGGCTTCGGCGGTGAAATCACCACCCAAATGAAGCCTACTATTCGGCCTGAGGAACACTCTTGTCTGAATGCCATAAATTCCCAGAATTGGTCAAGCGTTTTGACGCTCTTCCACTGCCCATTGCTCCTCGAAGGTGTACCTCCATCAGCCACCATAGCATCTGAGCCTCGATCGGGAAGTTCCTCATCCAGCTCGTCAAGAAATCTGGCCTTTGGATCGTCTGGGAAATGTGGAACGAGGCAGCGCGGTGGAGCAGCAGGATGGGGAGCGATTTGAAGGAGCGGATGCGTGGTAGCCCATCGCCGAGGCGTGTTCGGGGCAGGAGTCGGTGGGATGTATCGGAGCGTATCGTATGGTTCAAAGCCCGGGATCACTAGGTAGCCCTTCGCTGTACACTCGGACGGTGATGCTGCGCTGTCCGTCTCGACCGGCTCATCCTCAACAAGGCGTTGGGGCAAGGGTTTCCGCTCTCCTTCAGCCTTGTATTCCCATATGATCGGATCGAGCACTTTGCACCACCACTTGACCAGGCCTCTGTCGTCCAGTACGTGCTTGTTCTTGTTCTCAATGCTTGCGGGAAATAGGTATTGGTCCTGTGCCCGTGCGAATAAAGATATGACCAGTTTCTTGCCGTCCCTCTGTCTCTCCCCTGCGAGCCACGATACAAATGTGCGGCAGATGGCCTTCAAGGGCGACGAGGATTGCGACCGCGGTAGTTGTAGCTCGGAAATGTAGCCTGTCGAATCGGCCTTGGATACGAAGATGGTGGTGAGGTTTCTCGTAGTGTAGATCAAAACTTCAATGGCAAGCACAAGCAGTTCTTCAGGCAATGCTGAGGCGACGGCATCTTTGGGGGTGACGGAAGCAGCCAGCGTATGCGACTCGCAGTATGTCTTTTCGGGTTTGCCATGGGGCGGAGCGGAGAAGAGGGCGGACGACCTGGAGGGAGGCGTGGAGTAGTGATAGAAGGTGATGGGCACGTCTCTTGGTATTTGCTCGGCCAGCAGCTCTTTCAGCGACCCGGAGGCCCCAGGACTCGCCATACTGGCGCAACAGAAGCACGACAAGGGGAAAGGTCGCGTATCGGGGAATGTGAGATGGGGGGGAGCGGAGCGCGCTCCGAGCTAGTGCGGATGCGGCAAGGCGTGGATGCGCGTGCGGCAACTTTTCGATGATGAACTTCACCTCCGCCAGCAGCAGCGCTTGGACTGGCCGCCCCAATCGGACCCCTCCACCTCCTCCGAGAAAAACAACAGCCTCAATGGCTTCCAAACGACCGCTGCAATCCCTCGTCTCCACCGCCTCGTCGTCGCTGCGGCCTGCGCAATCGTCCAAAACGTCCTTTGTGCGGACCTCCGCATGCGCATTTTCAACCACAACCCCATCCAAGGCGGCCGAATTCGACACAGAAGCTGAGGACCGGCCGCGATGGAAGCAGACACCCGTGCGCATGGTGGCCCCTTTTAGAATACGGCCACAGGCAAGAGGCGGCGTTTTCAAGGTCAATGAGGACCCCAAGCGGTTAGACGATGCCTATGTGCGCATGTTGGGCCCTGGAGGCGACAAGGTGCTGGGAGACGAAGTCAAGTGGCTAGCGGTGACACACAAGAGCTTCGAACACGGAAAGCGGGGGTTCAACGACCGATTGGCATATCTGGGTATGTGCATGTGGAAACGCTGGTCAAGAGGGGAGCTAATATCGAGGCCAGGAAGGAGGATTGTTGAACTGCAGACATCACAAGCACTGATCAACTCGCCGCAAGAAAGTCAATGGCCCAGAGATTCCAATGGTGTACCTATGAGCGACGAATTCGGCCGGAAACCGTACCTTCACCCCGCTTTGACCGGACTGCAGGGCTTGACCGAAGAGGCAGAAAATATGGTGCTGAGCAAGTCACGATTAGCCCCAATAGCAGAACGGTATGGTCTGGATAAGGTCACTCGGTGGAAACCCCGGAGGGTACGTGGTCCATGTCTGGCCAAGTAGATCAACGACTAACGAAAAACAGGCGGACCAGCTCCAGGCGTCTGGTCTTGAATCTGTTCTCATGACTTCGCTGTATGCCATTGTTGGAGCGGTGGCGCTCGAGCGAGGCGGCGAGGTAGCCAACAAGGTTGTGCAGGACAAGATCCTTACACCACTGGGCTTTAGCTTTTCGCCCGATTCATGACCTGAACACGACACGAACTTGAATTTTTCGTGTACAAGACCACCGTTCCGAAATCTGTACCATATTGTAAACAAAACATGACACGGTGCATGTCATGATTCTGTACCATTGTGACTAGCCTGTTGTCTTTGTCGCTCTAGCCGACAGGTGATACGAATGATTCAGTCCAGGAGCTCATCAGGCGATAAAGTGGAGTATCCATCTGACCGTTTCACCCGAGGCAAACTTACTTTCCCAACTACATAAGTACGTACGTACGCAGGCAACTTTCTCATTCGCACCCGCCCAAAACAGAAAAAAAAAAAAAAAAAAACGGGGAACACGCCCGTTTAAGGCAAGAAACAGCGAAAAACCATGGATTACTGCGACTTGTACTCGCCCTGTTTATCGTCTTGTTCAACACACTCGCCCTGTTCTCTTATTTCTTTTTTTTTCTTTTTTTTCCCCACCAAACACATACTCGCCCAAAAACATGCGCACAGACCCCCACATCTCACCCCCCACCCGCAAGCGCCTGGATAGGAAGTTAAGGAGCGATCGAACCGTGGATTCCTGCGTTTACTTTCTTTTCTTTTTTTCTTCCTTGCTTGCTTTTTTTCTTTCCGTCTTCTTCTTCTTCTTCTTCTTCTGCTTTTTTTGGGTGCATAAACTTGCTGAGAGGAGACTAGTGTGCGTCGTGCGCGCGCGCGGGCACTCTCCGGTGGCTCTTTTTTTTTGGTCTTGATGCTTCCCTACCCCTCTCCTCTACGACCTCACTCCGACGTTCACTACTATCCTGCATGCTGGTGAATGCCTACAATACATACACACATGCATACACGCATCCTTCTTCTTCTTCTTGATCATACTGCCCTAGTCAAGCAGTAGTGTCCCTTTTTCCACCTTCATTCTTCACTTTGTTTTGCTTTTAGCCAAATATCCTGGTGCTTATTTCCTAGGCTCAATCTGTGCATCCACCCGCGTCTTAGGGCGACTTTGTGATGACTGCTGCATACGGCAAGTGTACTGATTCTATTGATTGTAGCACGTTTCACTAAGAGTGGGGGGAAAGGGGGGGGGGGTCTAAACTGTACTCTGGAGCCGGCCTGTTTTGGCAAGTTTGTGCAAAAGGGTGTTGGTTATGGTGGAGATTTTGACGTGACCGAGGCACGTGAAGGGCGTTGGGCCAAGGTACAAGGGTTGGTCTAGTAAACTGCCTCTGAACCGCATGTCCGCTTGTCATTGCAATTGTTATGCCGCAAACATGTTCGGCCTTGGTATTTGTTTTGCGGCTCTTGAAAACGGACTCTGGGTAAGTAGTGCGTGCGGTCATGATTGTTGCAGGTATTGAAATTGGGAATTGTATAGAAGAGGAAGAAGAAGATGATGATGAAGAAGATGAAGAAGAAGAATGAAGGTAAGGGAAGGGAAGGGAAGGGAAGAGAAGAAGTCAGTCGTGATTGCTCAGTTAGACCCTATGTACAACTTGTATTGGCTAATGGATGGATGATTGAAAAAAACAGAAATACTCAAATGCGGATATAGTCGGGCAATATAATGAAAAAGAGTGGTGGCGCCGCCAAATGCCTACTCTGGGTATAACGAATGCGAAGGAAGAAGAAGAAGAAGAAGAAGAAGAAGAGGCCAAGACGTATGTTGACGATGATGACGATAACCGTCCATTCAAACACGCCTTCCCAAACGCCCTCGCCATGACAAAAAAACCCATGATCCGTATTCAAAACGTCGTGCCGGGTTTATTTTTGCGCCAAAACATGGCTTTGGCAGCATTCACGCTCTGCTGCTGCTGCTGGGGCGGCGGATCGAATTTCGGGGGTGGCGGCCGTCCATCCTCGATATCCAGCTGCTCGAGCTTGCGCTGCGAGTTGCGCTGTAGTTCGCGCTGGAGACGGCGCTTGTCCTTCTTGCGCATCCACGCGACCCAGAGACAGTAGCTGGCGGCGATGATGCCCATGCCGCCGATTACGCCGCCGACGACGGCGCCCGCGAGGCCTTGTCGCGCCCACTCGGACTGCTTGGGGCGCTGGTAGGCGACGGGCGTGGTGCGCGGGCAAAAGGTGACGGGCATGACCATGTTGTTTTTCTGGATGGCTTCGGCTAGGTAGAAGGTATTGCTGTCGTAGTCGGCCATGAGGTAGACTTGGCCCAGGAAGGCGGTTCCGAGATAAAACGGGGTGTCGGCGGATTTGGCGCGGTCCTGGACCGGCGTGATGTTGGAGGCGTTCATGAGGACTTCTGGGGGCAGGGTGACGGTGAAGCCGTCTTCGAGCACAATCGACAGTGTGCCGTCGAAGCTGTTCTTGAGCTTCAGCGAGTTGTCGCCCCATGTGTTGTCCTGCTCGGCGCCGAGCTGCTTGATCAAGTTCTGCGTGATCTGGTAGGGCAGAGAAAAGGGAAACTGTTCGGTTGTGATCTGGGCTTCAAAGGCGTCGGGCCGCGACTGCATGTCGGTGAAGACGGTGTTGTCGAAGAGCGATGTGTTGGAGTTGTCGGATGTCTTTGTGATGATGATGTCTTTGACGCGGACACTCATGGGGTTGGTGTTGGCAATGTTCATGGGATACTGGTGTGCGTCGCCCGTGAAGCGCCCAGAGTCGTATCCCCCAAAGACATTGCTGCCGTTTACTACTCCCCCCGCGCGATCAAACCCTTGGCCAATGTAGAGGGAATATGTTGATCCGGTAATGATGTTTTGCGCAACAAGATCCCGCAACAGCGTCGACGAAGACCCAACACCGACTCTTCCTGGAGTTATCGACCCCGACTCAGCGACTTGGATGGTGGTGTTTGAGACAAGTGTTTGTGATGCGGCGTCCGTCTCAAAGTAGTGTGTATATAGCCGGACCGTTTCTTGACCAAAGAATCCCAAGAGGTTATCCTGGGCTGCGTCTAGTGTCTTGAAGCCATCCTTTTGCTCGAAACTACATCACATGTCAGTGGGCAGCATGGTCATGTACAGAGGGAGGCAACATACGACGTCGAGTCTTGGGGGCTGTAAAAGCCGCCCGTACTCGTATCGCAGTTCTTCAGTGTCGTATTGCCTTTGCAGTACTCGGTCGACGCAAACGAGGTAACGTTTTGCTGTAATGAGGGCCAAAGACTTTGGTTCTGTGCGGGGGTCCCAAGGCCAATGAATGATCCGTACTGGAAAACTGGAGAGTCGTGGACGGCCCGCTTGTGGATATCGACGTATACTGGGGGCTTGGAGCAGTTCAAGGCAACTGTTGACTGAGCCAACAGCACAGTTGCAGACAGGTACAAAAGGGAAGACGCCATGACGAATAGTAAGAGACGCTCAAGGCCAGTGAGCTGCAGGTCAAGGAAGAACAAGATGGGCTGGGCTTATAGCACCGCCTCGCAGATATGGACAAGAAGGAATCACAGGGCGTCTCAAACCAGCGTCGTAGAGGCGCCAGAGGTAATATGGCGTCTCTGTACGTTCCAATCAACCTGTACGTCGACGCACTAGGACAGGCATGCAGCCAGCCAGCCAGTCAGGCCAAGGGCCAGCTATTCTTGCATGCGGGAATATCCACCACGTCTTCCCCGGAGCCGCACGGCTTTGAACCGCTGTGGTGAGCGCCTGCTGATGCCGTTGTGGAAATGCCCCCCCCTCCTCCCCCAGCCTGGAGAGGGCTTGGTGTCAGCGCTTGGGACAGGGAGCATGGGCGAGGAACAAAGATGACCCTCTCCGAAGCTGGGCATGCTCGTTACAGAGGGCCGCGTGATTGGCTTCAGTGTAGTAGTCTGACACGCCAAAGATAGCCCAGGCGTTTACAAGGCGCAGACGATTGGACGACGCTTTCTCGCCAGTAACGCAGGCGCCCGAGCGCACGGACCCCAGTGCAGATTCATGTACGCATACGCGGAGCTGGCCACCACGGGCTATTCTTAACACCACCACAAGTCTGTCTGCAATAGCACCACAACTGTTGCGCATATACGCCGCGCACAATTAGCGTAGCCAAGTGCAGTGTGGCACTGAGCTCGTCGGACCAGGGTGTGCCGGAAATGAAGCACCCCTCCTCGTCTTGTTCCCAGCGCCCACTACTACCTCCACGCCCGCATCCACGTCCTTGGCCGCACCCCCCGCACCCATGCTGTGCTCCGTTGCCTGCCGGCTCCAGTACCATTGCTACTCGATATCTGTATATTCGGGTGTACCGTCTTCCGTGTTATACTTGGTGACTGCAAGTCCACAGCACATGGCTCGACCTCATCTCCCGGGCCATGGCTGATTCATGAACCTCACTGCAGCCTGACGATATCCCATGATCAATCACTGGCACGCCATGCCTAGGCGCTTACGCTGATGGCGCGAGCAACTTCGAACGCGTCATGATGTCGAGCTCCGTCTTACTCGTCGTCTTAGTATGCACAACGCCCGCCAGCCTTGCACACCCGGTGGGCTACAATTGCATTGACTGCGGTGATAGAATACACAGAAATCTCGTGGAAATGATGTGTAGAACCCCCACAATGCACCATATTCTGAAATGTCATCTGCTAACCCTCGACCTACTCCCGGAGCCCAGCAGTTATGAAAATCGCCTTAACGCCTGACCTGACGGCTGAAATGTCATCGGAAACATGCGCTGTGCTCCCACCCTTGGAAGCTCTGACCTAGTCCCTGTACACCGCGACGCTTTTCTCCCCGTCTGAAGCATAACAATAAAGCCTCAAGACATGAAAGCGCCTAACACCATACTCCACCCGCTGCTGAATGACGACCCAGGACGCCTCCAAAGTAAACACTCCTGATATGCGCCCAAAATGCCTGATACTTTGCTATACATAATGTAGACCGACAAGACCAAACTTACTCACGGGTTGATGAGCACCCACCGCTTCTCCTTCTCAGTGGGTCCCACCCTCGCAGCAACAGCACTCAAGGTGTTGGAAATGGCATCTTTCGGCAACTTGGGGAACGCTTTCTTCAGAGACTCTATCATACCCAGCTTGGTGAGATCCTTGCCTTCAATCTCGGCTTTGAAGGCCGGAAGTTGCTCGGCGGGTACCATTCGCTTGTTCTTGCTAGGCTTGCTTGACGTGCTTGACGAAGCATTCTGCGGGCCATTCAGCGTGTTCAGCAGTCCGTTCATGGTTCGCTGGGTTAGTGGCGCTCGCGGCGGATTCATGGCGCCACTACCGGAAGTTTCTTTGGTCACAACCGAAGCCGCGGGCGCTACGACTGCAGGCTCAGGCGTCCAGTATGCTGTGGAAAAGGGATCGATCGACCGCATTTGCGGGTCCAACAAGAACTCCATCTTGAACTCCTTGAACTCTGTGCAAATGGCATCCGATCCGTCATTCAGTCGGGACACGCTGTCTGCGTCCTCCCAGCACAAGCCGGTGTTGACGGGCACCAGATCGCCGCTAATGAGTCCACGTTTGAGCTGTGGATCCTCTTCATCATCAAGGAAGCCATCCATATCATCTTCCGCGTCCTCTTCATTGTCATCCTCCCCATCGGAGTCCAAGTCTTCACCTTCCTCTGGTTCATCCCATTCAGCTTCAGAGTCATAGTCGTAATCAGTGTCCTGGCGAGCTTTCGACAAGGGGTTCCGTGCCAAGCGCCTTGCCTGGGCGTCTGTGTATGGCCTGGTGTACGTTCCGCAATAGGGTGGACGGACGTCTGTGCAGAAATGAATGTACTTTATCGGTATCTCTCTCAGCATCTCCAAGGGGTGTCTTGATGTTGCACCCTTCTCAGCCGTAACATGAATAGGGTGGTCAGACGAGCTGTTGACGCAATCAACGACTTCCGATATTGTCGCCGTCTTGTGGCCTCGGACGTCGCGCTGTGGAAAGAGTGACGCTAATGTCTCTGGTGTGATGGTCTTGCCAGGCGCATTATTTTGTGCAATGATATTGTCCAGTCGCTGTCGGGCGGCTTCCAATTTCTCAGGGCTGTTTAAAAGGCAATTCGTCGGCGCAAGGATTGTGTGCGCAGGAACATTAAACGGCAAGAAGTATCGCTCATAGTCTGATTGTGCGTTCTTGGCGATGGTCTTCTGTGGTGAGGGTGGGATCAAATCACTATTGGCCCCAGATGTGTCAGGTAATGATACAGAGGCTGCGGGGTTCTGGGACGAAGCTACCGCGGCCTGTCCTGAGCTCGGCCCTGTCTTTGGCTTCGTGAAGAAAGCATTCAGCTTCATCTGCGACTATGGTCGAGTTAGCATCATCGAATGAGTCTGCACAGTCCATATAGACCTACCCGTGCCTTCTTTGCCTTTTCTTCCTCGAGGCGTTGCTGCTCCTCTTCCTTTAGGCGCTTCTTCTCATCCCGCTCTTCGTTCTTCTTCCGTTTCTCCTCATCTCTCTGTGCCTTTTGCTCGGCCTTGAGTTTCTCCTCGGCCTCCTTCTGTGCCTTCTTCTCCTCTCGAGCCTTGGCCTTTGCTTCTTTCTCAAGACGCTGCGCCTCTTTCTCTTGTGTAGTCAATCTCCGCCGCTTGGCTGGCTGATGTGTAACAATCATGGTGGAGGCGTTCTGCGAGGAAAGCGGCTGGTCATCACCAGGCTTGGTGTTGGTGGGTCCTGTCGGATTCGATGCTTTGTTTCTAAGAGGAGACGGTGTCTGAACCGAGACTTCTGAAAGGGGCGTGGATGCTTGAGAACTGATTGTGGACTTGGCGGGTGTGATGGGAGGTTGGACCTCTTCTTCGAGTGGACGCTTTTGGGATACCGGCGCGGCAGGGGCGGGGTCCTCCATGTTGGTTGCAGATGTTGCAATTTTGAATTGGGGTTCGTTGAGAGTTGCAGCCCTGTCAACTGTCTGCAGCCGAGGCTGAATTCTGTGGTTGGCGTTGTGATTGAAAGAGGGCGTGATTGCGATAGCGGGCGTTGATGCGGGAGGTGACGCGAAGGTGGAAGGCGCGACGCGACACGCGTCGAAGGCACGGCCAAGGCCCAGGGAGCCGATTCGTCGTTTCCCGCACTCTTCGAGGAATTCCGAATAGTGCCTAGATTCCTATTTGGGTAAGGTCCGTCTGCCGCGAACTTTAATGCAAACCCAACTGTACCCAAAGTGTCTGGAAATCCAATTAATTCGGTTGATTCGTAGAATAGAGTTTTGAGCTTAGTTTGCATCGAAGAGCATGGGGAGAGCCTTCCACACATGGTGAGTGGTCGTAGATGTCGTGCCTCGCTGCCTAACAGGGCCCCGTCGTTCTTTCCAACCACACTCACCTACAGCACCGTAACCAACTCCAGCGCCATCAAACTTTTCATCGACTACGCACTAGCTATCCAGCAGAAAACTGACCCTGTTCATTCCAAATACTAGCGTGCTGCCTGAGTTTTCGCTATGGACGAGAGCGGCTTCGAGGACCTGCTTTTTGGAGACCTAGACACGCAACTGACTTCAGACGATAATTTGCTCGATGAATCCGACGATGACATCCTATTTGCTACTGGGAATGAAAACCTTAACCCCTGGGCGGCGGCAGACACCGCAGCTCACACGCCTACCGTTGCTGATATGTCATGTGGGCAACACGTGCATAAGATCCACATGAGGCACTCTCAAGAACAATCTGGCTGCGATCCAAGCGAGCTTACTGAGCGCCCTATTCGCGACAGGTTTTAGTTCTTTTTCACATGGTCTGATTGTAGCTTACTTTCTCTCAGACACTGGGTGATGGCCCGCATTGAGTCCATGCTTGAAAGAATAGTGGACGGCCTATTGGAAGAACACGAATCGCTTACCATAACCCTCAAGTCTCGCTCATATCTTTCTCGCCGAAGCGCCATTGGCACTGAAGGACGCGAACCGATTCCCAAGCCCAAAGAACGCGACATAAACTTCCCAGGAGCCAATGCTCAAGAGGCTTGGAACTTCAGTCGGTTTTCCCGTCTGTTTCAAAGTGAAGACTGACATTTCCAGCTGTACTATTACGTATTCTAGAGCTCATCCACGGTGGTCTCAGTGATAACACCATCATGACGAAGCGGTGCATTACGTTGTCCCATTATTAAGAATTCAATCTAATGAATACAGTGACATCTACTATCGACATCCAGATCTTTTCGTCAAGCAATCTGTCGTTGATCGATACGTGGACGATTTGGCATGCACATTTGACATTACTAGATCACAACTGAACGTGGTATGCGACCCCTGAAGGATGCAGATTAACACAACTGACACCTGGATATCAGACTGCCGCGGCGAAGGGTTTAGTGGCCGGCAATTTCAGGCTTCGACAAAATAACAATCACATTGTGGATGGTCTTAGCAACAGAGAGGTTGAATTGAGTATGCCCATGGCAATGTACATGACTGATCTTCCACCAGGGTCTGCTCATTCCGACTGTGGGTGAAAGTAACACCTGGGACTTGACCGGGGTCCATTGGGTTCTCATCATTGAGAAAGAGGTATGCTCAACTCTCCGTATACTTTTGTCGGTACTGACGGAACCCACAGGCGACATTTCGGTCACTGATCGGGTCATCGCAATGGGATACACTGGGCTTGCATGGCGTGATGTTGACTGTGAGTTTAGAAGACACACTATAGAAATTTCTAACTATTGCATAGGCTAAAGGATACCCTGACGTGGCTTCGCGCAAGTTCGTCCGCCAACTAACAGACAATGCCCCTCATGTTCCCATGTTTGTTTTAGTGGACCTGGACCCTGACGGCATCGCCATTCTATCCACTTACAAGTACGGCTCGTACCGCCTTGCACACGAAGATGTTACACGCATAAATACACCCGCAATTAGCCTGTCCAACATGCTCTGGCTTGGTGTAAAGAGTGACGACTTGAGCAGGAGACGGGTAGGCGAGGATGGCACGGAATCGTACGCGATACCCCAGCTCCAAGGCTTGATGAGACTCACAACACGCGACCGCACCAAAGCAGTGCAGATGCTGGAGTGGAATGTATGCACAGAAGATGGAGCTGAGCCAAGCTGGAGACGGGAACTGCAGGTGATGCTCATGCTCAACGTGAAGGCTGAGATGCAGGTATTAGACGAGCTACCTGGTGGATTGGTGTCATGGCTGGGCGGCGAGCTGAGCCATGCGAAGGAGGCCGCGCGCACTCTACCGATTGGCAGCGACTGCTCAGACGATGGTATGCTTTTTTGAGGAGGTTGACGCGTACTGCATTTGTCCCAGCGTGCATGGACAGGCGGAGGACTGTACGCACTGCCTTGTTGCCTTGTCTGCAGAAAAGGCGTGCAATGGCATGCTGAAGGCACTGTCATGGCCTCCAGCCCGAATGTGCGGAGAGTGCAGCGTTGGTGGAGCAACTGAGCGGCATTGTCCAATGAGGGGCATCGGGTGGGTGGTGCAACAAATACTCCTCCTTTCCTATCCCCGCCAAGCTTGGTCCACGTCCGCCAACGCATCCTTTCTCAATCACGGCAGGCCACGTTCAACAACTGAGACGGCGTCGCAAAGCGCGCATGCTATGCATTGACCTGCAGCTTACAAGCAACTTTCACAATGTCTGGATCCGCCGCCCCTCCAAACGACCCGCCCGTTCCCTTCGAGGCGCCCCCACCCTCGCAACCCTCCGCCCACCCCCCCAACAACGACCAACATGGCTCAGATGCCCCTGAGTCGAATGCCATCCCGCAGCCATTGACGCCTGCCACGACCACTAGACAGTCGGTACCTCTGGGCGTCTTCTCGACCCTCCTGGCCAACAACACCACGTCCACGCTCAGTGCCCAGCCCATCCTGTCCGACGAAGCTGTCCCGGCGATTCTCATCCACGCGCAACCCTCTGATGCACAAGAAGGCCCTACTGACCTCGCAGCGAGCTCATGTTCAGTGCCTAGTGCGACTACCACATTGACCAACACGCTGCCCCCGACCCAGTCCGCTGCCCTTCGCGCCCTCAATGCCCCCGCCTTCCACTCGTCGCCTTCCAAGAGCAAGTCTGCAAAATCCACGTCTAGCCGAACAACCGTCACTAGCCAGCCTGTCGTGGTACGCACGTACTCGGGTTCACGGCATACCTCACGCCCGGGCTCCGGCTTCAACACCCCACGCTCGTTTGCAGTGAGTGGAAACATGCCCACCTCAGCACTGACGGCCGGTCTGGCGGGTAGGAGCGAGCAGCTGCCCTCTGCGGATGACTTTTCCTTCTCAGCCATCCTCCGCGCTGTCGATCCCGAGATTCGAGATGCCATCGATGCCATTGCCGAGATCTGTGCGAAGAGCAGGATGAGTCTGGCAGATGAGTATGACTCACATCTTCCCCCACAGGGCGAGATCACTGGGACTGGACCAGGCTGGGCTGTGAGCACTGGAGCGCTTGTGGGGCGAGGCCGCCTGAACAGAATCAGCCAAGGATGGTCTGCCGCGGACAATACGCTGATGGCTGTGCCTGAAGCCAGCAGCTCTAGCGAAAGGCTGGCACAAGAGGGAAAAGCAGAGAGCAGCAAGAAACGAAGCCAGTCAGCATACGGCAGCTTGAAGAGCGTCATCAGTGGTGGCAGTGGCAAGAGAAAAGCAATTGATGGTGACACCTTCCGCGAGCAAGAGGGTAGCAGCTCAAAGCAAGCCGAAACGCAGAACCGCGGTCCTCCTTGGGCAGTCCAGGCCTCAGGGTCATCTTCCCATCCAGCCATTACTCTCGCTGCACCTACTGCTTCGAAGTATCTCTCGCTCGATACGTCATGCGCTATGCAAGACAATATCGATTTCTCAGTGCAGACAACAGACACTCAGCCCCTCAACGGGAATCCACGAAGACCCTCCTCGCAGCATCGCAGACAAGCAATGCGCAGCCTTCCAGCTTCACGGCTCCGTGCAGGTACCTTGGGCTCCTTGAAATCATGGCTGCCATGGCCTCGCCCATCCGATCTCAGCGAGAGTAGCCGTCAAGAACTGACACGAGCCGAAGACCGACTCAGGGAGATGTTGATGTCTAGCCAAAATCTCGGCAAAGGTAAAGCCACCGTTAGCGCCGCTTGAATACGCAGTATATGTGGAGGGTTTTGCAGATTAACGAGTCATCGATGCCCTGTTTTATTTTCCATACAAATAAAGATACCCAGAAACGAATAGCAATGGCATGAGAAAGCACAACATATGGCGGTACCTGGTTATTTTTGTTGGAGTTGATTGATGATAAGCGAAAGACTGCAAAGAACCCGGCAAGGGGCTATGAATTATGCTTTAATGATATATGACTAATGACGGTGATGGACTGGGGGCTTTTGACAAGTATGATTGAATACAAGACTGCTTTATTATTATGCATATTCACCTGATCAACTCTCTTCCTAAATTTTTTGAGTACTATGTGTGTGCTTCAAGATGAAAAGGCAGCTATCTAGTTGCACAACCTCACCACAGTGATGATGTCTTCCTCTCAAACCCTCAATCATACAAACGCCAATTTATCTTAGACTGTATACTCTACACCTTCTGCGTTGTGCAATCCCGCTACTTACAACATGACAATATAAACGCCATTGATTTCACAATCAAATCGTAAACAGCAACAGCGAACGAAAATAGGATGTTGAATCCTAATATATATATCTCTCTCTAAGTATGTATATATGTATATATATATATATATATATTCAACACGAGTACTCAGAAGAAACAAGCATCAAGTAAGAAGAATAACGCAACAAAGTCTAATTCACAAGGAGAATGAAAAACGAAAAACATAGATGGATAGATAGATAGAGTAGCCGGTACTATAAACAGAAAACTTGGATTGATCAATCAATCAATCAGTCAATAATAATAATAATAACGCCACAGACACATACACATACAGACAGACAGACAGACAGACAGACAGACAGACAGACAGACAGACAGACAGACAGACAGAGAGGACAAGGGAAGGCAAGTGTGCAAGATAAGAAAGAAAACCCCCTAACAAAAAAAATATATATAATCATGTAAAGAATGTAACAGTAGCCACAAGAAGAAAGAAAAAAAAGGCAACGAAGACAATAGATAATGATAATAATGATAATGATGTCCTTTCGCCCCTCCCCTAACGATTGCAGGCGTGCCCCATACTACATATTCCCCCTCCCCAAGGACAAAAAAAGGGGGGGGGCACATAACGACATGCAAAGGCGAATTTCTCCCAAGGAACGGCAAAGACAAAAAAACAAAACAAAACAAAACAAGGAACAAGGAACAAGGCCGAGTGTACAAAACAAAAGGAAAAAAACAAAAAGAGAGATTCAAGGTGTGTAATACTCGAGTAGCCATGTCCAGTGTGACGCCGAGTAATGCAAACAAAACCAAAAAAAGGGGGGAGGCCCCCCCCCCCAAACAAAAATCCTCGAACTACCAGTCTTTTTCCTTTTTTTCTGGTCGTTTCCCGCAGCTCTCTGCACCGCACCGCATCGCATCGCACCGCTGCCCTTTGCTCATGAACCATCGTACAACCATTGCCATAAAAACACGTCTTCTGACCGAGATGGGGGATAGATAAGTAAAACATAGAAATATGTATATGTGTGTGTGTGTGTGTGTCGCGCCAGAACTAGTCTATTCCGTCACTTTGTTTTTCTTACCCCCCGTAGCCGTTACCTGGCAGTGGTATTGGGGATGCAGAGGCTGGTTTCCAGATTTTGACTCGCATGTCGTCGCCTGCAGAGGCAAAGGTGGTCGGGTCCTTGGGGTGCCATGCTACGCTATTGACGCAGCCGGGGTGGGCGTCGAGGGCCTCGATGAGGAGGCCGTTGGAGCGCCAGATGTATATCCGCGAGTCTAGACACATGTATTAGCCAATGCGTTCACAGAGTTAACATCTATAAAAGCTTACCCTCGCTGCCACTAACGACAAAGTTCTCGTCCGCGCCACCAAATGCGGACCTGATGATGAACTGTTTCTGAGCGTGTGCCTCGAAGCGTTGGATGACATCACCCGTGTCAATCTCCATAAGCTTGATCTGGTCCGGGCTCATGCTCACCAGCATGTGCCGCGAATCTTGGCTAATCATGACACTCGTCAGTTTGACTTCGTCGAGTTGAAATTCCGCAATCTTCTCGTAGCTGACAAAGTCAAAGACGACAATCGAATTTTCCGTGATGACGACAAGTCGCTCGCCGTTTGGTGATACGGCAAGGTCATTCGCTCGCAGCTTTCCACCATCGTCGCAGAAGTTGTGTTTGAGTTCGCCGTTGAGATCCCACACTCCGCAGCCCATTCGGTCATCTTGTGATCCAATAATCACGCGTGTGCCCGACGGATCCCATGCTGCTGTTGTGCAGGGGTATGTAAAGTCACTAATGCATTGTATGCATACACCAGTCTATGCAGGTTAGCAGACGCTAGCTATAAGAGCCAATGAAGCGTACCTTGACGTCCCATATCCGCGCAGAGTTCTCTGGCTGGGAACAGCATGTTACAATCTTGGTGTCATCAGGACTCCACGCAAGATGGGTGACGCCGGAATCTCGGTGTTCGTCTAATTGGTGTAGCACCTTGTATGTGGTGGTGTCGTAGATGATGATTGTGCAGTCTTTGCTCGTTGACGCCAGCTTAGTACCGTCATTTGAGTATTGCAGAAACCACACCTCGTCCTTGTGATGCCTGATGTCCAGGACGGCCTTTGTGGGGAAATCGTCTCTCTCGCAATTGTGATCTAGATAGAGCGAAGGTGATGCGGCCGTGTTATGGTACAAGCAATTTGCGATCCAGCTATCTTTTACCTCGTCTAGCAGTACTGCTAATCGATGCTCTGGAATCATGACACTAGGCGAGATGGATCCTGTAAGGCGTTAGCAGCCACCCTTGAAGTGATAAAATGGCTACATACTCGAAAGATCCGAGAGGAGATGCATTCGCGACTCGCCGCGAGCACCGTCCCATTGGGCCTGATGCCTCAAGTCCTCGGCAGATTGGCACATCATAAACCTGATGGCTGTTAGCTGAAAGCGGCAAGCAAAACATGCATCGAATCAGAACTAACGCTGAAAGAGCATGTAGCCTGCCCACGTCTTGGTGCAGAGGCGTCAGCTCCTGTCGAAGAACTGCGAGTGCTTTGGAGAGATCCCTGCGTTCGAGCAGTTCGAGGTATTTTTGTTGCTTGAGCCAGAAGAGCATAACCTCGCGATTCGCGCCCTCGGCAAGCGTCAGGCCTGCAGAACGCTGCGAACCCGACTTTGACCGTGACTTTCCCCCCCATGATTTTCCGTACGGGGCATCCAAACCAACGCCGCCTCCATTGTCACTTGTGTTGGAGCCAAACAATAACTCTTCCGCCTCTTCCCAATCGCCGTTCAACACTGAGCTCCGGAACGCCGCAACCGTGGGTCCTTCGAGCTGGAAACCGCTTTCCTTGCACAATGCGCTCGCGGCGCCATGATATCCCAGGTCCGTCAGGCTCTGGATGAGTATACGCGTAACCTCCTCCCTATCATGGCCAAAAAAGGTCGCGGGGACCGATGCACCATTGGCTACCGGGCCCCCATTTGTGTAGGAGCCGTTGCTCTCGTTGCGGCTGTGGGGGCTGCCATTCGTATTCTTGCCCAGCGGCGACCTGGGCGCCGACGACTGTGAAGATCCGTTTGTAAAGTTGCGAGAGGGCGATTGTGCAGTCTTGGAGGAGTCGTTGTCCAGGCGCATGGTCCCGTCGTTTCTGCGCAGGCGCTTCGAGGTGTGGCGGGATGACCTGCCTCGGTCGGTGCGCGATAGAGCCTCTTCTTCGCTCTGGCCGCCGCTGTCGGAGAAGGTGTTCCTGCGCTTGGTGGCCGTAGTGCCTTGGGACGGAAGGGCGGTAGTGGCGGCGGCGGCAGCAGCAGCAGCAGCAGCAGCAGCAGCAGCGGTAGCGGTGGTGGGAGGGAGGTTGGAGTGGGCAGAGATTATTGGGGAAGAAGAAGAAGCGGGGGAAGGCGGGATGGATGGGTGGTCGGCGGCGATTGGGGAGGGAAAGTCTGGGGCGGTTTCGTCTGCCAGGACGAACGGAGCGTCTGGCTACCCGCAGATGACGCGGGTATGGGTGCGTGGCAGCGTCTGGTGGCAGGAGAGCGTCGTGCGTGTACAAAGGGAGAGAGGCTAGATGGCGAGCATGAACAAAGCACAGCACCAGAGCGTCTACAGGCCGTGTGCGAGTGCGGGGGACTGGTGTAGGCGGCGAAGAGGGAGAACGGGGGGGTGTGGCGGCCGAGAGAGCTGGGGAAGGTTGAGGCAGCAGGCAATGTCACGAGCCGAGAGATGACGATGCAGCCGCCTAGGGCCTCGGACACTCGCCGGTGCAGGGCCTGGCGAAGCTTCTCAGAGGGAGGGCCCGGTGAACGCGCAGCTGTAGAGAGACGCCTGCACAGCCGTCTGGTTGCTGTCGTCGGTGTTATCTGGGGGGGTTGAAGTCGAGGGTGAGGACAGCCGTCGAGGAGGCGTTCGGCGTCATGCGCCAAGCGGCAGTCACGACGTGGTAGAGCGAGAGGATGGCGCAGCGGGATCACCCCCAACAGCGAGCGGGCAGACCGAGGGAGAGTATGGGAGCAGAGAGAACAAAAAAACACTCAGACTGAAGCGTTGTTTTTCGTTCATGCATAGATACGGGCTAGCTACTTAGCAGGCAGCGTCGCGGCGCACCACGATGCTCGGGTGGAGCCGTCGTTGTCACAAGGTCGCCGATTGCCCGATAAGGAAGCGAGCTAGCATAGCCACACGCCATGAATGAAGCCCTCACTCGAATCAACTATTACAACACATGCCTCGAGACGGCCACATGAGACGCTGACATGCAGTCATGCCGGCCCTGCCAATCAACCATCGCATGCGAGTCGCTCCACGCATCCAAAAGCTAAACGAATACATGCCCTGGCTAGACTTACTGCTACTGCATACATATCCAATCGACCCCTATATCCTCATCGTGGCATTCCCATTCGCCCCATGCTGCTCGAACCAGTTCAGGAACTGATACATGCTCGCCTTGGGCGTCCTCTCCAGGCTCTCATAGTCCACGTACTGCAGCCCAAACCGGACCGAAGTGCCCAGGAGCCACTCAAAGTTGTCGTAGATGGACCACCCCCAGGCCCCCGTTACATTGACCCTGTCCACATGGATCGCCAGCAGAATGTTGTCGAGGTACTGCTGGTAGTAGTCGGCGCGCTTGAGGTCCCACAGTGCTGCGTTGAGGTTCGTCCACTGTGCCTCAAACGGCTCCGCGAATCCGAATTCACTGACGACAATGTCGGGCACCGACGGAAAAAGCACCTGGGTAATGTGTTTGAGGAACCGCCGTACTCCTGCCGGCGCAGAGTAGAACCACGACATGGCTGGGTCGGCCGCCGGCCCAATGGGAAATCCATTGGGCGCTACGCTTGCGGATCCAGCACAGTCGGGGAACGACGGGTGTGACCGGTTGCTCGTACATGCCTCGAGCCCGCCCTCGACTTCAAACGCGACAAACGACGAGTAGGGATCAATGGCGTAAAAGTCACACGAGCCCTTGATCATGTCCTTCTCCTCCTGCGTAAACTCGGGCAACAGGTCTCCAAGCGTGTCCTTGAGCGACTGCGGGTAGTCGCCGTCTGTCCATGGGCCCCCAAACCAGCCAATGCTAAAGTCAAAGTTGCGTTGCCGCGCCACCTCGTCTTCAGGCTTGGTACTATTGGCTTCATAGTAATTGCCACTGTTCTTCAGCGTGATGCGTCCGCGGCCCTTGAACTCTTCGTGGTACCATTTGGCCACCTTTGCATGCGCAAGTAGCGTGTAGTGGCCACACAAGAAGCGTGCTCTCACACCAGGCGTAATCCCGTTTGGCGCCGGGTAGTATTCGCCCGCTGGATAAGACGCATACTGCCAGTTGCAGTACTGGGGCTCGTTGATAGTAAACCACTCGTCAACATAGGCGTCGTAGCGTGTAATGACAAACTTGGCGTAGTGGAAAAAGTCATCCACCACGCGTCGGTCGGTCCATCCGCCATATTCATTAAAGATGGCCAATGGCGTGTCCCAGTGGAAAAGCGTCACCGAAGGGTGGATGCCATTGGCGTGCATGGTCGAGATCACGTCGTCATAGTGTGCAACAGCTTCCTCGTTGACCGGACCGTTGCCAAAGGGGAAGAAACGCGGCCATGAGAAGCTGGGACTGAAAGCCTTGATACCCAGACTTGCAAGCCGAGCAAAGTCTTGCTTGTACAGGTAGTAATGCTGAGCAACAACATCACCCGTCGTATTGTCCGCCACAAAGTTGGGGACTCGATGGGCCAGCAGATCCCAGATACTGGGTCCTTTTCCCTCGGCCTTGGCCGCACCTTCAATCTGGTACGCCGAAGAACTCAATCCCCAATGGAAGTTGTCGGGTAACTTGAGATCTCGAGCCTCCGGGTACCCGCTACCAACGAGGGCGTGGTAGAAATGCGGATCCGGTTTAGGGTACACGGACGGCTCAGGAGTTGGAGTAACAGTAGACGTGACTGGACCGGTAGCGACAGGGCCTACTTGATCCCAGAGGGATGCGAGTGCATTGGGCGAGTAATCGGTACGGGTGAATGGGGTGGGCTGAGCAGAAGCATTGAAGCTGGACGACGTGTAGCCCGAGGGCTGAGCGAACGAGAGCGTAGACGTTACATTAGTCTTGGCTGCAATCGGCAGGGCCAAAAGAAGCAGCCCAGAAAGGCTCACCAGCCGAGCCATCTTGCTGACCTCAACTGCACGAGTCGAAGAATGCTCCAAAGCAGACGCATGGGCACCACTTGTACTTGTACTTGGTACCTTGAACACACACCAGCGCCAGCATCGCGGAGCCCCGCGCCGGCAATGACTTCCTCAGCCATCTTGCTTGTCTTTCACTTTACCAGCCTTGCGGTTTAGCCGTGTATGCTATCTTGGCGTGCATGGAACCCCTCAGAACAATGCTCAAGGTCATCTTGGTACTTCGCATGCACATGTAGACGACATGCTCCGGTCCACAAGTACCGACCGCTGGCGAATCAGCAACAGCCAAGGAAAAATTCCAAGGCTTTGCCGTGGAACTCAGCTTCATGGGAAGGCCTCCAGCGTAGTCGTCTCAACGTCATCATCACGGAGGTTGGCGGAAGAACCGGGGTCAGTTTCCGTGCCGAAGTCTGGGTAACGCAGAGGGCTGCAACACCATTGGTGGACATAGAAGCTTCTCCAGATCTGGTGCAGAGCCCTTGTGGAGAAGTAGCTACAACTCAGCCTGCAACATGAGCATCCAAGAAGTTGCCGTGCCAATTTGTGGAGCAAGACGGCTCGTCCAACGGTTGCAACTATCGTTTGTTCGTGTGACCGGTCCGTACGCCGAAACATGGTCGAATTGTCGGTAAGATGCCAATGCACAAGAAGAATGGCAACGACTTGCCTAGACGGGCTTGACAGTAATATTTACGGTCGTTAGTTGGGGTACACAGGCCGGGCTCCAACACATTCTATTACAACTACTACGCTTCTAGCCTGAATCCAATTGGGGCGCATCCTCTTCATCGCTCGATATGGTCGTAAAATGTGACTGAAATGGTGCAGGGCTCGTTGGGTATATGTCTAGCATTTCGATAACAGACGGTCATTATAGCAGTCGTCCGAACAAGGCTTAGGCCTTGCGCTGCTTCTTCGAGGGGGGTTCCTGTGCTGACTTTCGGCCCTTGCCTACCAGGGCGCGAATGTCAACAGGCTCTTCATTATCGTCATCGTCGTCGCTGTCGCCCATGACATCGAAATCGGATAGCTCTTCATCATCTTCATCCTCGTCAAATGTGGCCTCTGTGATCTGTTAGCGCCGATACTAACACGTTCAAACATGCGACATACTGTAGTACTTGATGGCGTTGGGCCACATGTCTTCAGCAAGAATGGTAGCAATCTCGTCACCACCTGGGAAGACCTCAATTTCCTGGTAGTCCTGTGTTTCTTCTTCATCATCATCGTCGTCATCCTCGACCTTTTCTCCTCTTCTGATCTTCTCGAATCTCTCCCTCTCTTCCTTTGTAACCTGTGCGGATTCTTGAGCGCTAACCCATCGGTAGCCCGAAACGAAGGAGAAGATACCAAAGAAGCTCACAGAGGCGTCGGTGGCCGTCTCAATGTTCTGGGCAAGCTTCTTGTATTCAGCCGACTTGGCCTCCTCTTTCATTGCTGCGCCGTTGGCGGTATCAGCACCCAGCTTGGCCCGCATCTGGCCCAGCTTGTATGCCGCGTCAGTCAAACCGCCACTAAGGTCCTTGCCCTTCTTCCAGTGGATTTTGACTGGCTCAGACACAAGGCCCTGCCAGTCTTTGGTCTTGCGATACCAAAACTTCTTCTCCAGCACTTTATCCTCAAAGTATTCGTTTTCCTTGAAGCTGAACTTGAGCGAGAAGCTGCGCGGGGAGCCATTGGGGTTGTTGAGCTCGAAGCGCTCGACTTCAAACGTGTCTAGGTATTCTACAAATAGCTTGGAGTCTGTGGGCTGGATAAAGTTGTCAATTTCGGGAGGCGCTTGCTCAAAGACTAGCGCCCAGAAGTGCGGGATCTTTGCGACAAGGTCGGCGCGCTTCTTGTAGAGGGGGGTATGAAGGGCCTCGGATTTGCGAACTACATGACCGTCAGCATTGCGCCTGTCGTATCGATGGAATCCACAGCATCCAAGCTCTCCGAGAAGCTCAATTCGGATGCTATAAATATCGGAAATGCGCGGCATGTTTGCTGCGTACGAGGCAATGCGACTTACTGGTCTCCAACTCAGCATCCTCGAATTCGTGCTCGAGAGCCGCAAGCTCCTCGAATCGAGCAGACACTTCCTCTGGTGCTGGGCTTCCCATTTTCTTCTTTTCTGAATACAACAAACAACTGAGTTCAGCGTCGAAGCAATCCGCTACTCGAGGCAAAGTGTGGTTGAAGTGTGATCGCCGGCGCGCAAAGCATTTCTCACAAAATTTCCAAGTCGCTGCAGGGATCTATGTCAGCCATCCGGATAAGCCCCACTTTAAAGTGGGGTGAGCCCCCCCGCGTTTTCGCGAATCATCCACTCTGCTCGCACTCGCAAAATGTAAGCAGAACCAAGCCTTGCCGGTGGTCAAGACCACTTTTGTTTAATCGGATATCCGAGGGCGTTGAAATTTCGCAGATAGAGGCTTTGTCTGTTTGCATTGAGTCGTTTGCCTTGACCTAGCGTATTGGAGTCATCCAACTCACCCCGCTGTCTTAGATTCACCGTGGCAGTGCACTGATGCCTTGACCGCAGGCAGGACGCCCATCTACCTTATATAGCACGGATTGTACCGCTTCACTAAGCCCTATATCCTCCACCATCTACTCACCATGGGGGGTCTTGTATTTGCAAATACCTTGACCGAGTCTGGGAAACCCATTACTACGCCCCGATTGCCAGTTGAACTATACAAGGCACTTTGCGCAAAGTACCAGTGCATTCTAGAAACGCTGTTCCAACGGGTTGTCATTCCACGCGATGCTCCAGCTAAGAAAGACTTTGGCGACATTGATTACCTAGTCGAAGGTCTGCGACCGCCAAACAACACAAACGACATCTGGGAAGTGGTACGGCGTGCTCTTAAGGCTGACGCTCATCTACTGCGCGGTGGTTCAGCTTCGTACGCGGTACCCCACCCAGAGACGGTTGGAGCACACGTCCAAGTGGATCTCGAGCTCTCCGTTGGAGACGGAACCCCAGAGAGCGCAGAGTTGTTCGAATGGACGCGTTTCATGAAGGGCGACTCGGATTTGCTGCAGATCATTGGCGTCACACATCGTCCCTTGGGTCTGACCTGTACTGACCAGGGATTGCATGTGCGCGTGCCAGAGGTAGAGCCCTACCACAAGAGAAAAGCCTCTCTGTTCTTGACACGAGACCCGGAGAAGGCCATGGAGTTCTACGGTTTGGATGTCGCCAAGTACTGGGCTGGGTTTGCGGACATGGATGATCTATTCGACTGGGCATGCGGCGGGAGGTTCTTCTCATCCGAAATGTTTGACGGTCGTGTCGAGAAGCACAACGATCGAGCACGCCAAGGGAAGAGGCCCATGTACCGGAAATTTGTGGAAGAGTACATGCCTTCACATGCAGACAAGGGCGCTGGCAATGCTTGGACGCGAGAGCAGGTGCTCGAGGAAGCCATCAAGGTCTTTGGCAAACGAGCCGAATACGATGCCATCATGGAGGAGCATCATGTCAAGACGGCTGAGGAGGAGCTGTGGAAGGAGATCAAGGCCGTGGTGCCGGCCGAGAACAACTCGCTGGCTCTCGCTCTCAAAGGCCTGAGACGCTGGGTTACATTCGACGACGGGCAACCAGTCATTACACCGGAGCCAAACCTAGAGGAGCCGCTGACCTGGTCCAAGTTTGTGTCGCCTGACATCAAGAGCACTGTCCTAGCGTGGGTGCAGGACAACTGGAAAGAAGTCAAATCCCTGGAGAGGGCGCGTGCAAATGCATCCAAGCAGGCCGCGAAAAGTGTCCCAGAACAGGTAGCGCAGCCATGACGAGGGGAGGAGGCTGACGGGGAACCTCGGTTTGTAGCGTAGTCATGGTCCAGAGGTCACGATCATTTCCCCTCGGGCACCCGCTGGCAGCATCAGAGTTTTTTTTTTCTCCGATTCCGTGACGTAAGTGCATGTATCCTAAGCCGGTATTTTCCTCGTGCGGCGGGCCTGGTCAATGTACATGGTGGTCCGATGTGTTTGGCAGTGCAAATTTTCAGTTTTGAAGGGGTAATGAAAAGCAGTTTCGAAGGGGTAATGGAGTCGGTTTCGAAGGGGTAATGGAAGCGCTTAACAGTGGGCCGGGTGCTGGCGTGGGTGGTGGTCGGCCCGATGGGGAAGGCAACGGCCTGGATCACAACCATTTTGCTGCCAGTTCGGAGAAGGACGTTGGCCACGGGCGTCACTGCGCTAGGCCTATCTGCTATCATGCCAAGACATTGGTCGCATTGTGCGAGCAGTCTTCCTGGATGAACGGCGTGTGCGGTGCCGGATTGAGGCCAACCTTTACAGCAGGCAACTGACCCTGTTCTGTCTATTAAGAGTCGAGCAACAAAGCCCCAGCCACCGTGGTGTCGTCTATCATCGCATTGCCCCTCCGGTGACGCAGCCGGAGTTTGCCTTATCTGTGTCCTTGTTGCACTGATAACAACAACAAGAAGAAGAAAAAAATTCCCTGCCGTGGGCATAGGCATCATGGATGGAATCGACGACCAGCAGATGGAGCTCCAACTCCCAGAGTCTCGAGTGTTGATTGTGATCACAGGTACAAAAATAATCATGGCGAAACAGAGCCACTTCAGTGCTGTACTTACTGACTTGAACAGGCGGCACAATATGCATGCGAAAATCGGCAGACGGACTGGTCCCCGCACGAGGCTTCCTAAAAGCTGGTCTGGCACCTAGGCCCGTCTTCAACGACGGGTCCTACCCCGAGCCACTGGAGATTGTGACCGACGACAAGGGCACACGCAAGGCTGTCCAGAGTCTGAGAACGCCCATCAGCACGTATGAACGCCGTGTTCGCTACTGTGTGCTTGAATTCGAGAAACTGCTCGATAGTAGCTCCATCGATTCGACGGGCTGGGACCAGATTGCTCGCACCGTCCAGAGGAACTACCAGCTGTTCGACGGCTTTGTGATATTGCATGGAACAGACTCGCTGGCCTACACGTCGTCTGCGCTAAGCTTCATGTTCCACAATCTGGGCAAGCCCGTCATCTTGACCGGGTCGCAAGCACCCATGATGAACCTGCAGACGGACGCCCAGGACAACCTGCTCAACGCCCTCATCATTGCTGGGCACTTTATGATACCCGAAGTCTGCCTCTTCTTCAACTTCAAGCTCTTCCGCGGCAACCGCGCGACCAAAGTCTCTGCAGAAGACTTTGATGCATTCAGCAGCCCCAATCTTCCACCACTAGCCACCATCTCGTCTACCCGGACCAACGTACTGTGGCACCGGGTCCATCGATCGACCGACCTCAGCCCTTTCACTATTCAAACCAACCTCGACACGGCACACGTGGCTTGTCTGCGTGTGTTCCCCGGCATTACGCCAGCAATGGTGGACGCGGTGCTGCACCTGGACGGACTCAAAGGGCTCGTATTAGAGACCTTTGGGGCAGGCAACACGCCTGGGGGGCCGGACAGCGCCATGACGCGATGCTTGGCAGACGCGGTGAAGAGGGGAATCGTCATTGTCAATGTAACGCAGTGTTTAAGCGGTAGCGTTAGCGCCCTGTACGCTCCCGGGGCTTTCCTAGGTCGAGCCGGAGTCGTGTTTGGCCAGGACCTGACGTCTGAAGCCGCCCTGACCAAGCTGGCATATCTGCTCTCGCTGCCGGATGCCACGCCCGAGGAGGTTGCGAAGCGCATGTCCGTGTCGCTACGTGGCGAGCTGACCGAAACCACACGCACTCACTTTGAGCATCCTTCGCGGAGTGGTGTTCTTACCCCTGAGCTCTCGAGTCTCACGGCTCTCGGCTACGCTATCCAAAAGGGCGACTTGCAAGCAACAAAGGACATCATTCGAGGGGAGCCCCGCTGGCTGCTGAACGATGCGGATTATCAGATGAACAGCCCCGTGGTAAGTGCATTTTCTGTCCAGTCAGCGCTCATTTGGCTATCGGTATGCTCCGCCGTGGCATGCAAGCATCTCTGTCGAGGTGCCAGTGTCTCTGCAGCGTGTGCAAAGAGCCGGTATCGGACGGGGGTTGCAGCACAGCTGGCAAGCTTTCTGAGGCAGGCGACGCGTGTGTGTACATGGCTATCGTAGATAAAGACGTGACACGCCGACGGCACGACACGAGGACAGAGCCAAACAGCGTTACAGCTGCACCCCAGCGCGTCGGCGACAGCACGCACAGCGGCTTATCTCTCAGCTGGTTGCCGCGCTGCATGGGGAAGCGGGAGGTACCTGGAACATGTCTTGTCCATATCATGACGCCGAATTGCGTTCTGTGCTGACCCGTGCATGTAGCATCTAGCGGCGACCAGTCCCAATGTCGACATCCTAAGAGACTTTCTGGCCCAAGGCGCTTCTGTGCATCTTCGAAACCGATCAGGGAATACCCCGCTCTTCTTGGCTGCGGCGGCGGGCTTACCAGATCACGTACAGACATTAATCGATGCTGGAGCCCATCTTCACAGCGACGAGATGAGTGCGGCAAAGCTGCACGCATCGGAGGGCGACGGCAACGCAGACGTCTGGAAGCGCGTGATTGGGTGAGGGCGGCATGCATGCTGAGCAGTGACGACAGTTGATTGTGGCGGCTGTTGGCCTGCAGCCTAGCGATCCGGTTGTCTATTTGATGGGCGTAGGCGAATGCATGGTGGCCATGTTTGAGGCGCCATGGGCTGGCACGTCGTTGTCCCCAGGGTCTGGTGATGCCCGGGATCAGCCCGACGCACGTCTGCAACGTCTTTTGAGCGGCGAGGGGAGGGGGAGGGGGAGCCGACCGTGCAGAAGTGAATCATGGGATTTACGCGACAATATCCCGGGTGGTGCTATCGGGGGATTGCTGATAGTACATACATAGGTAGTATATACTACCTGCGCAGGCGATGCCCAAGACGTTCCCCCTCCCCCTCCCCCTAGCTCAGGCAGGCCGTCAATCCAACGCCCGGGCAGGCGGACGCCTAGCCGGCCGGGCATCAGCAGCAACAAGCAGCAGCAGCAAGGGCTCGCGCTTATGTAGGTCGATAGTGGAATTGCATTTGGGCGGTGCAGACGGTAGGCGGCGGCCATGGGTGTGGGGAAAACAGGTGGCAGCACGCAATCGACTTGCACATAAGCATAGGACAGGCCGGTCCAGGACAAGGAGGGCAGTTGGCAGGGCATTCCCGCTAAGAATGGAGACGTCGGGAGCTTGTTTCAGTAAAAGAAATCTCTGTGCCAAGAACGGACACGCTGAGGTGCCCTTGCCTCTGCGGATGGGCTGGCCCTGGATATTATTACCGTGTTCTGTGCTTTGCGTGTGTGTTGGTGGTGGCCGTGGCAGCATGCGGTTCATGACTCCGGACAAGACAGAAGCACCAGAGCCCGTCTACCCTGCTGGCCCTGTGAACCAAGTCCGGTAGTGGTAGTGCGCATCCCTGCCCCCCGCATCGTATTGAGTCGCGGACGCTGTGCCCCTCTTGTTTGAATCCTGTGCATTTTGCGAGCATGAGCAGCCTCGATGGTGTGGAGCCCACCCCCCTCCCTCCCCCCTTCGTCTATGGATTAGTACAAGTAGTAGTACATCTAGTAGGCGGCCAGGTACCTTGCCGCGGTGATTGCGGTGGTGACGGTGTGGTGTGGTGGCGATGTCTTGCCGGGCATTCGCGTCGCCGTCATACATAGTAGTACCTAGCTGGCCGTGGTGGTGGTGGTGGTGGTGGTGGTGGTGTTGGTGGTGGCCAGCAGTCATCACCACGACAGTCTGACCGAGCCACTCGATCCATGCCATGACAGCAACATATGAAAGTACATCCAGCCATCCATCCATCCATAGTACGTACATGGCCTTGTATCGAGTAATGCGGCAACGTGCTGCAGCCATGGCCAGGCAGGGCCTGCGGTGCTGAGTCCCTGGCCGCGGTCAGATGGTCGCCATGTTAAGCGGAGCCTATTCGCCCTTGCAGGTGGACTATTAGGTAAGTCTTTTCCCAGCAACGCAAATGACGAGGGCCCCAACTGGCCTCCCAAGGTCATACGAGAGCGGCTTGTTTTCGAGCTTCTCCTGCTTCTCCGGCTGCCGACGAGAACCGCTGCTCTCTGGTCCCAGTCTCTTTCTTGCGACAAGGCACCGTTGCGCGCCCCCTCGTGTGTCGACGTCAAAGGCACTGGCATCGGGCCGCCATCTGAACCTTACAAACGTCCTCGACTAGCTCCAGCCATACCCTGCATAACCCGACTCACGTGTACGCTTCTCGATTGCACTATCAAAGGCTTGACCCGTCCGTGTGTGTGTCGGGGGAGAGAGAGAGTCTGTGTGTGCGTGTGTGTGTAAGAGAAAGAGAGAGAGCGTGTGTGTATGTGCGTGCTGGCCCATTGCTTTCTCTCCCTCGTTCCTTCCCTCCCTCCCCTCCCTCTCCGCGCCAGACTAGACGCCCTCCTCCTCGTCCTCCTCGTCCTCCCCGTCTCCCCTTGGACAGGAAAAAAAACCTTATCTCGCCTTCACCCGCCGCCGCCGCCCTGCTTCCCCGAGAAAATTCCCCAGGTGACGAACCGTCGGGATCCTCGCGCCCTGACGTGGGTTGATTTGCTGCCTACTATATCCGCAAACTATCGCCTTCCGAAAGTCGGCTCTCTCTTTCTCTCTGTCAGTCAGTCTCTCCCTCGCAGTAGCATCGCCCCAAACTCTCCCCGACGCCGGCATCCTTTCCCACACCAGCCCCCGCCGCCCCCCGGGTACTCACATCCACCGACACACGAATGCAAAGGACCGTCGTTACCATCAACAGCAATGGCCGCCAGGCCGCGAGCTTCATTCGCGTGGCCGCCGCATTAGGCTGGCAGGTGCGGGCGCAGATGCGCGACCTGAACGGAATAGTCGCCCGCGAGCTCGCCGAGCTCGACAACGTCACCGTCTTCATCGGCGCGCTCGAGGACAAGAAATTTCTCGACGACCTGTTCCGCAGTGCGCAGTGCGCCTTCATCAATACCACGCACTGGGGAGACGAGGTTGCCATTGGCCGAGCGCTAGCCGATGCCGCAAAAAAGGCCTGCATCCAACACTACATCTACTCGAGCATGCCCGACCACTCCGTCTTTGGCCACGGCTGGAAAGCCCTGCCCATGTGGGCGCCCAAATTCACCGTCGAGCAGTATGTCCGCCAGATTGGCCTGCCTGCGACGTTTGTCTATTGCGGCATTTACCACAACAATTTTACCGGCCTCGATTTCCCGCTATTTTGCATGCAGCATCAGTATGACGGCAGCTTTGTGTGGCAGGCTCCCTTTCACCCAGACCAGCCACTCCCGTGGCTGGACTCGGAGCACGATGTAGGCCCAGCCATTTTCCAACTATTTAAGGAAGGTCCACGCAAGTGGAACGGCAAGCGGTAAGCGTCTTCTGCATCTGCGTATCTCGGTCCACATTGTACGGCCGTTCCCCACAATGGCTCGATCAGCTGCCTCAGCATCGCAAGTCGCAATTGTCAAATTTTTTTTGCCTTGGTCCCTGTGCGCGCTGCCACGGCGAAGTCACATGCGCGCGCGCGAGACGATGCATTGCTTTGACGACCCTTTACTGACACGACCCTAGGGTGCCTCTGGCCTTTGCCTCGATGACGCCCAAGGAGGTCTGCAAGGCCTTCAGTACTGGTCTTCGGAGGCCAGTCCGCTACAAGCGGGGCCCCATAATGATCAACGTTCCCACACCCGCAGGCTACCGGGAGCATCTTGCCGCCCTCGAGTACACGCTGGGCGAGCGAGGCGCACCCTACTTTGGTCCTGATCTCGAACCCGACGTCCCTACCGCCGCTCTATCGCTATGGGAAGGAAACCGCTCCATGGAAGAGTACGCCCAGGAGGTCTTCCCGGTGGAGGAGGCCGCCAACGGCCTCACTTGGATGGAAGAGGTAGAGACGCCTAGGAGAGAGATTGAGATCGACTTTGAACAAATCAATTGCTGACGACGCACTTCACTCTTCCAGGGCGAGTATTTCCAGCAGTCCGATATTGTCCTGGCTTCGAGCGACCACCATAACCAGGCGAGGCTCTAAATTCCTTCGGTTCGGCATGGCCCCTAGTTCAATTGGCGTAGGATGGGTTGCATCTCAACGGCGTCTGACCTCTCTCCTCTTTCCTTTGGAGTTACCTGGTAGAAAAGCGGTGAAAGTCTGGCTACGGGATGCCTGACACACGAGTTCCGGTGTCCACGTCAGGCCGTCTTTCCATTACAAGTGCTTTTTTCTTGTCGCTGGAGCATGGTGTTTGGGTTGCCTTTTTCAGCATGGTCGGATGCACTGCACTCTTGTTTATGCGGCGGTGATCTGCATTCCAAAAAAGTTATTCTTTCCTTTATTTTAATCAGCTATTTGACGAGACACTTTTGTTCATAAGCTTAGTTGCGTTGGGATGGTGGAACTTTTGGTAGGCTTCACATATAGCAGCTCCTGCGGTTAGCATTACACAATAGACATTTGTTATGTGACGGATTCCGGCAAGATTGCGTTATCAGAGCACGTCTGGGGTCAGGGGTGCGCATGGTGAGACATGTGCTGATGGGAAAAGCGCCATTTGGTGGGCGCATTGCGGAGTAGTGCTGACATAAGCAATATCGAATTTCTTTGAAGCTGAATCCCACCGTCCCATGCCCGACTCCGCACGCCAATGTCCGCCGCCATACCGTGCACGCGGGCTACAGCCCAGCGTCTCGCCTTCCGATCAATAAGATGCAAACGATATGCAAGCACCGAGACAGTTGCTGTCGATGCAGCCCCTGCCACGCCTCTGCCACCCGCCAAGCGTGAACCACCACCACCACCCCCACGAGAAGACCTCAGCCAGCGTCTGCACCGAGCATTATACCCAGAGTACTATGGAGAGGATGGCCGGCCCATCGATGGGGCATCTAGGGTGCACACGCGACGCAAGCAACCGTCAAAGCCCATCAGTGCCAAGTGGGAGGCTGTGATGAAACAGAAGACCGTGAACCGTGAATTGAGTAGGCAGCCTGAGGCAATTGCACATGCACGCAAGCAGCAATGCTAATCTCCCCACAGGCCACCGATTCGGCGTTCCCGTCTTCAAGCAACCAGCCCGCAACATCAAGAAAACCTGTCCTAACCCTGTCGCAACCGTGACGGCTTCGCAAATAAGCCAGCTCGACCCAACTGGCGCACGAACCCGTCTCTTCGCAAAGGACAACCCAGAATGCGCGCGTGTCGGCGATATCCTGCTTGTCCGCCAACGCAGTGGCGATCCATTTGCCGGAGTCTGCATCAACATTCGCCGCCGAGGTGCCGATACCGCCATCCTCTTGCGTGGCCAATTGACCCGCGTCGGCGTGGAAATGTGGTATAAGATCTACAGCCCGCTTGTAGAGGGCATCGAGGTGGTCCAGAGGGCGGCAAAGAGAGCACGACGCGCCAGGCTGACGTACATGAGGACCGTCAAGCACGACCGAGGCAGCGTGGAGAACGTGGTCCGCATGTACCTGCGGCAGAAGGCTGCATTGGGCACGGCCGAGGGCCAGAAGAAAAAGGGCGCTGGGGCCGCGGCTGCGGCCATGGGTGGAAAGAAGAAGCCAGGCAGGGGCAAGAAGAGGTAGATATCATGACATGGCATCTGGCTGTGGCAAAGCATGCTGCAAACTGTACACCATGTACAATATCATACGAGCAAATGTCAAAGACAGGTTCAAGTGCAGCGTAACTCGACGTTGGAAACAGGTGAATTAACAAGGAGAAAAAGTGTCTCTTAGGAAATGGTATCAATGCCTGTAAACGACGAGAGAAGAACAAAAAGGGTATGCCTCGACTCCATTCCATCTTTACAGTCTCTCATCTTCAACCCGCTGACTCTCCCCATTTCCCCTTCCATCCTATCCATATTCACCTCTTCCCTCTCGTTTCCTTGCTCAACTACAACGTCCCATAACCCTGCTGCGCAGGCTGTCCTCCAGCAGTAGTCGTCGCCGTGGTCGTCGCCGGCACACCGCCCTTGTGCCCGCCATTCAGCACCTTCTGGCTGTAAATACCAGGCGCGGGCTGCGCGTCGTAGATGCCCGCGCGGATCTCATCGCGCCGCTTGATGTACACGTATTCGACGTAGAAGGCGTGGATGTGGCCTGGGAAATAGCCCAGGATCGTCAACAGGATGTTGATCAGGAAATCGGCGCTGCAGCCTGAGACGAGGAAGACACCTAGAGGTGGGACTAGGGGGTGCGTGGGTTAGTATGGAGATGCATGGGAGGGAGGGAGGGGAGAGGACGTACTGAAGATTGTGATGAGAATAAGGAAAACGGTTTTAATCATCTTGGTGGTTTTGCCTAGGTATTGCGTGCAAGTCGCTGGTATAGTAAAGTCCGCGTCTGATATGTATGGTTGTGTTGTTGGCGCGCACAGCGAGTACAGATATATGTACTTCTAAAGTTTGGCTCTGCTTCGTTTTTTTTCCTTTCTTCGTTGCTACGCAAACACGGCTGATCACCCATCTATATATACACACATGTGCATGCGCAAAGGCTCCATCACCTGTTCAGCATGTGCCTGCCCAGCTTTTTTTTTGCCCTCTTGCGTTCTGCGCAGCGCTTGCACGCCTCCATCACGTCATGGCGTCGGTGCGTTGTGGCGCTTGATTGGGCGCAGCCACAGTGTGGCGGGGCGAGACATTTGGACGCGTAACAAGGCTGTGTGCCTTGTATCAGGTTTGAGTGCGCTTGTTGGCACCAAAACGTGTGATTGGAAGAAATTAGCTTTTGACGGGTTTTTTTCCCTTCTCTTGTCTTTTTCTGACGCATCATTACTCAGGACAGCGTGTTGGAATGTTGCGACTTGTATGTGTGCGTCGTTTGCTCGCTGTACTTGAAAGCATGGTTTTTCGTTGGGAAAGTATAGCGCGCCCTGATGCTCTTGGTTATTACACGCGTGTTCCAGGCATGTATCTAGCTGGTATCCTGGCTGTATAGTTTTCTATAATGGCAGGGCTGAAGTTGTGCATATATGCATGTATAGTATGTTATGTATGTAAGGCTTTACATCATGGCTTAAAACAGGGTTGTGGTTTTCGGCTTCATGGGGGCGAGCACGAGTAAGGAGCAAGGATGAACCCCCCTTGTGAGATTGACGGCGTATTACGTCAATGGTAGAGATACGCAACTTGCCGTTATCTTGATTCTGATAGTGAGCGTGTCGCCCTTTTTTCATCTTCGGGGCTTTTGTGGAGAAGCTGGTCATGAGATCTCAGTGTATCCGTGTCATTGCTGGCATGAGTTGGCTGTTTGAAGAAAAATCAAACTCTCGTGACTTTGCAGTGTGCGTTTGAAGCATGACCATGACCAGACATTGAGTAGGGAATGGCGGTGAGCAGATAAGCAGAGAGTTGGCTATATGATGCTTGTGAATAGCTGCTCATGATATGGCATGATGCAGACAAGAGCAGAAATAAGAGTCGATGTTGTATCCTTTCTCATGGCTCAGACAAAACCCGTTATCTGCTTGCAACTGATCCGATATATCCATGTCTTGCAGAACTTCCAACTGAGTTTAAATTAGCCAATCTTATCCTGAAGATGGCCCTACACGAAAAGATAAGCAATTTCATACTAACGCTACCGACCAGCTTTGCACTATTTCCATTTCACATGGCGACCTCCCTCTCCCTCAACCTCGTCATCAGACTCGGCTTCTCCCACAGTACAAAAACCCGCTGATCCTCCCACTTCGCCTCCTTATCCACAAGCTCAAACTCAAAATGCCACACCAACCTCGCAATTATGGTCCTGGCTTCCGCCCACGCTAGACTCTGCCCGATGCAATTCCGCGGTCCGACGCTAAATGGCTGGATGACATGCCGCTTATCGGCTTCGTATTCTTTGGCGCCTAGAAAGCGCTCTGGGGCAAAGACCTCTGGCGCGGTAAAGTAGAGCGAGGAATGGTACATTGCGTACTGAGGTACTCCGACCCTGGTGCCAACAGGGAGCCAGTGACCGCATATCGTTGCGCCCTGCTTTGGTACGACGCGGGGCAGGGCTGTAGGAACCGGTGGGTAGATTCTGAAAGTCTCGTAGATGATTGCGTTTAGGATTTTGAGCTGGCTGAGGGAAGCGAAGTTGATTTCGGATTCAGACGCGAATGACGTGCGGATTTCTTCGTGCAGCTTGTCCATCCATTGGGGGTTTCGCTGGAGATGGTAGAATAGGCCACTTAGGAGGGTGGCGATTGTTTCGCTGCCGCCGACGATGAGAGTTCCGCTGGTTTGCTCGAGTTCGTAGTTTGTGATTGCGCCTTTGTTTTTGAGAATGTAACTTGGAATCGTTAGTGCAAGCTCCCTCTGGTAAGGAGTTGACGTACCTGATAAAGTCCTTACGGTCCGTCTGGGTGGCTAGTCTTTTCGTAGTCTTCTTTTCAGTATATACATTGTGCTGGTGCTCAGCTCGAGCCAGCGCGGGTACTCGTTTCAACAAAGCCATCAGTGGTGTACCGATGATCGGGTAGCGGTTGATGACGTTGAGAATAGTCGCAAAGCGGAAGGCATTGAACAAATTAGCCATCCATACATTGTAGGTCTCTTGGTCGAGAGCACCAAAGGACTCTGCAAAAGTCAAATCGCCTGTGATGTCGAATGTGGTGAAATTCAGCCACTGCACAAGGTCTACTGGAGTGTTTTCGACTGCCCGCTTGCGAAGCTTTTGTATCAAAAGCGTAACGTATGAATTGATCATGCTTTCTTGGCTACGTAGAGCCTGCTCCGAATAAGCGTGGTTGAGCGGACGTCGGATGCGTGCATGGTCGGCGTCGTTAGCAGCTACACACTATTAACATATGTAGTAAAGTGCTCTTGAGCTTGGCCTACAAATGATATCGCTCGGTGGACGAAAGTAGAAAACTGGGTCCTTTTGCATCGGCTGGGTATTGCCATGACCGTAGATTTCTTATACAAGTCAATATCTGTCATGCTCTCTTCGTCAGGACTTCTTACGTCGCCATGCTTCTGGATTGATAAACGACACTAGGTCTGGACTGACGCGCACCACCTCTCCATACTGCTTATGAAGCGCAGTCCATTTTCGATGGGTGTTTCCGGTAACTACCGACCAGTAGTCGGGGAAGTGAAATGCACCGCGCAATTTCGGTCCAGGGAGCTTAGCAAGAGGGTCAAAAGTTATATGGTCTAGCGCCCATAGTAGAGGCCAGTTAATGTAGTATATGGCGAGCTATTTTTGATCTTAGTTCAGTATTCAGGTGTTGGGAAGAGCTGACTGACTGCCTTGAGACACAAGATAAGGATATCGGTTAGCGATAACGTAGGTACAAAGTAATCCAAGTACACCATCTTTTGAGAAAGCTAGAGACCTTGAAGAGTGAGTTGGAAAAAGAGGTGCCATTCCATCTTTTAAGAAGAGACCCGATAGATGAGTCGTTTGGTGGACGCCTGGGACAAAGGAGGATTGAAGTGCGGCTGTGCAATGCCGTTAAATTGGCCCCGCTCCTGTGAATCCAACTGGGGGCCTACATATGCAGTCCTTGGTGGAGAAATACGCTGCCAATAATATGACCAGCCAAGATTCTGATGCGTCGGGCCTCCATTGACACTGAGCACATAATAAACATGTGCTCCATCCGCGATTCACGAAAACACGTAAGCCATACATTGAAGAATTAATCGCTGGGTGAGAAGGGTTGAATAGTTGTGCCAAATATACCATGGCAGAGTAAGCGAGGCCCCCAAGAAGATAAGACATCTGCCTCGCACGTCATGGTTCCCCGCCTACTTAAGACTCAGCTGAGTAACATGAAGTCGGAAATATTTGATCGAGCATTTGTTTTCTTCCCTGAATTAGGATGTTAAGCATGTCTGCGTCTAATCATTCTTCACGGGTTTCGGCACAAATATTTCGAAAAACTCCAATGGCAGATGACTGTAGCCTCCATTTTAGAACCATGATCTAAACCAATACCGGGATTTCATGCGAGGCCTTTCGCTAAGTATCCCATCCGATATTCCGATCCCGTTTTACCCGGGCCCGCACAGCCGCTAGAGCTCTCTAACTCCTCAACCTCATACCCTGCCTGGATCGCTTAGGGCTCAAATTTGAGATGGATCATACTCATCGTATCTCTCACCGAGCGGGGTTGTCTTGCCCACTGTCGCCCAGTCCGCAATTCCCAAAGCATAGCTAGGCAGCCGTTAGTATCTCTAAATTTCTCCGACTCTCCGCCATAGCTTACCTGCTTTCAAACATGACTAGCATGTTGTCATCACTAATTCGGACGGGCACCTGTTCCTCTGATATGCCTGTCTCCCATTCTGGCCGAGTAGGCCCGTGTGGAACCATGCCATTGTAGATGGTCGCGATTCCGCTAGCATTGTTTTTGCCGTCCAGAGAACCTTTGAGAATAGCAATAAATTCAGATGCAACATTACGGTGGAACGAAGGTGGCCTGAATGTGTCTTCATGGACAACCCATCTGGGGGGAATAGCGAGTACGTCGAGGGCTGCTGTCCCCTCAACATCACTCTTGACAGTCAAGACAGTCCAGATACAAGGGTCCTGTATGTTTCAGAATCACATCATCCAGTAGAGTGTGATGTACGGAAGCTACTCACTGCATGATCGTATGAAATGGCACCCATTGTACAGTATTTGCCTAGAAAGAAGTGTTGTCAGTCAGTGATGGCGACTTGACCACCCTGTGCTCACTTACCAAGATCATACTTGAATGGAAAACTGGTGCCGTGCCATCCAACCACAGTAAAGACAGTTCCCTTCATAGTCGCAGTGAAGAGTTCGCCGCAGTACTTGTTAATGATCTCTGTATCCGGTCCCGGCGTGTATGGCTGGAGCCGAGGGATCTGGAAATCCCTGGGATTAGCCAGCCCACTGCTACCAACGATACCCAATTCTGGCAATTCGAAATGGTTCAAGAAGGTCTCAGCGATGTATCCGCGGATTGGTCCTTCCACTACTGACACGTGAAATCGAACTCCACGGGGGATAACTGCGATCTCGCTAGGGCGGAGTCTCAGCGGACCCATCTCCGTTCTGATGTCGAGAGAACCTCGCTGAGCCACTGGAACAAGAGTTAACGGCATCATAAAGCAACTGGTGTGAACTTACTTATTAGCAAGTCTCCATCGGAGCTGGTGAAGACTTGATTGTCTGGCATGCTTTTGCCAGCGGCGTAGATATAGTACGCTAGCCCTTTCCTCATAGCAGGATCGCCAACACCAGCTAACACCCTCAGCCCTGTCAGAAAGTCATCGTTCTCATCAATATCCTCTGGCCGAAACATGTATGGGATCGGCTTAAACTGCAGATTGGATAGCTTCAGATCAGGCACCTTAGATTTAGGTTTCCATTCCGTGTATTGAGTTGCTGAAGTTGATGGTAATGTACGATAAAAGTGTGTCTGTTTGTTCTGACTGCGAGAGATTGTGAAGGGCGACCCTGATATTCGGTCTGGATAGAGATTCGCCAAGTTACGCTGGGGATGAATGCAGTCGACGGGGTTGGCGCCAGGAATGCTCTCCGACCTGGTTCTGCTAAGCGATTATCCCATCCCCACAGACGAGGTTAATTACTCATGGTAGTTGTTCAGACCGTATGCATACTCGTATGGATCGTCAACTGTGAACGTTGACATCGTCTTGGCTTTGCTGTGGCCCTTGTTTTTTTCGCCTGCATTCATAGGCACCGTATGGTTCATTTTTAGTAGAGGCTCTTAACTATAAATCTCGCCTGGAGTGAAAATGGTAATGCGGAGCTCGCTCTTGTATTGATGAATCAAGGTAATCAGACACTGGGCATTTATACCGCCCTCATCAGGTCTTTGGTCAACGAATTCAGCATACTCTTGGAGACAAAGGAATCTCTTCCAAGATTGTTCCGTTCGTACCCGGTTCATCTAGCTCGGTACATAACCCTCAAATGCTAAGGACATCTCAACAAAAACATGCGAAGTATACACCCGCGCTAGGCAGATCCGTGTGGGGAATATACCATTCATTGTTGACGAGGTGGATGTGAGGATAAAATCGCTCCATGCGTCTCCACTAGATACCGCCCTCCGACAGACCAAGATTACTCTCCGGATCCTTACGGCTTAACACATCCTAGAATGGGGGGTCCTCACATTCCCTTGCACGGCCTTCTCCACGGGGAAAGGCCGAAATATGCAGAAAGGTGGGGACTGGAAACCTGTCAGCTCCTATGCGTCTCAAGTAGAATCTTTGATAACTTGAGACGAGATCCCCAATACTCGTCATCCTTGTGTCATACGTAAGAAGGACTTCGGATACTCTCGGGATCCACGGCTACTCATTATTATAGGCAAACAAAGTTTCAATCTTATGCCTTTCATCAGCGTACATGTAAGCGCACATGATCCGACTATGCGATCTTTGCTCGTGCGGCCAACTTCGTTGTCGCCGTCTGACATCGAATCTGCGCTGGCAGCTCTTGTAATGCCGCCAACGGCCCATGCACTGAGGGTGGCCGTAGCGTGCGATCCGCAAGCAAACGCAAACTTATGCTGCTAAAACTTGTCGAAAAAGATGCTATCGTAAGTTCTTTCAATTTATTATGAAATGGGGTTCAATTATTGATCGTATTATTTGTTAACATCTTGTCAGCTTAGATGGCTTTAATTCCTTTTCCATGTTTGATACAGTGCTTTTACTTGAGGTAGTTTACCGATATTTTCAAATCTAAAAATATCTAAAAAGTGGCGTACTGTGCTTGTTCTATCCTAGCAACTGCCGTTGTAATTCCTACGTACCCAAATGCTACGTCCTTGAGCAACCAAAAGACACTTTCATACACTTGCCTTGGGGAACCGTCTTTCGACCCAGCCAACGATTAACGTTACTACCCAATCAAAGGCCTCCTTGCTGTCATCGAAAAAGTGACCTCCAGGAATAAAGTGCAGCTCCTTATCTTCTGTCACAAGATCTTCGAAGATACTGCGGGCATCCGAGTTGAACACGCCAACATCCGCTGTCCCTTGAATAACAGCTGTTGGTATATTCCATTTGGCTGCGAAGACATCAAACTTAATGCTCGACTCATGCAAGCTCCACAAAGATAGCCAGGTGCGCAAAGAACTCGAGCGACCTGCAAGACCAATGCCACGATTTGCTTGTGCTGGGTCGCCGAAGTAGCAGCTAGGAACTGGCCTATCCGAAGGGTCGATTGCCGCGTCTGTGAACCTCAGATCTGTCATGGTTCGGTGTACAGGGAAGATTCGATCAGGGATACCGGCATCGTTCAAGCGCTTGAGCTCTGCTTTTGCCCACTGCGTGATGCGATGATTCCTCTCTGTCTGAGCTGCCCGATAACGTTTGATAAATTCCTGGGAATAGGGGGGTCCATTCTCCAGGTTGTACATGTCTAGGCTGGGATCAGTCTTAACCGGGTCATCTTCATCGATAACAGCAGGATCCAGCCATTTGGAGAAAACGTCTGGTCTTCCTGTATGAGAGTTGACGAAAATGAAAGCATCATCTTTAGCGAGAGATCCGTCTTCTCGTGTTTTGGCGTGGTAAGCAGCCATCAGGGAACCGCCGCCGGAGTTACCCATCAGAATAACCTTTTTAACTCCAGCAATCTCCTTCAACCAGCGAACCCCTACACCAATGTCTTCCACGGCCGGCTCCAGAATAAACAGATCTTCTAAGCCCCGGAACCTAGTGTTCCATCCGAGAAACCCGTATCCGCGGGCTGCAAGATGGCCGGCGAGATAATGTTCAGAGAAGTCTGCATTATAATGTGTGGCTATGAATGCAATTTTTGGGACATTTGCTTCGAGAGTCCAGTACAAGCCCTGGCATGTATGCTGACCGTTGGGTGATCGCTTTTTCGAAGGTGCATTCAATCCAACAAAACGATGAGAGACGCCATCGGGAATCGTAGCTTCATAGCCGGTTACAATTCTTTCCGCGGTCATTGTGGAAGTCGACCTGTTGATGCCGCAAAGATATCATGTCTTACTGCTGCGGCTGATGGAAGAAACAAGTTGGCATGTGTTCTATGCCGAATCTTGAGTAGCTCCAGGTCATTTATAGGGTTTGAAATGGACTTTGACCGGGTAACCGCGGACCGGTACGGTCTTGTAGTAGCGGCCCCATCCCCTGCATGTTAATCCGCAATACGAAGCCAATGATTTCTGTAAGTCTAACATGAGGTCCTGGATGAAATCATGGGATCAAAGCGTCGGCCCGCAAACTTCGCCCAAAACAATTGAGTCTTGACACGAAATTGGACAACCACCAACCGGATAACCACGGTGTTACTGTCTCACCAGGATTAAAACCGTTTTCAATCATGCTTCATCACCACGTGGTAAGGTAATATGTGTCGTATTTCGTGTATCCATAATTTGGCCCTCCTCTACTGGGAACCCTAACAGCCTGCCAGAGATATAAAATGTCTCAGTCATACGCAATGCAGCGTCCTGATCAAGGACTGTAGAAAGTATTCAATTGTGTAGCGAGAGATATTAATGCAGAACTGATTGTTGTATTGATTAATTATATTCTATCTGAGTACGATTATGGGAGAAGATCAGACCTTTCGTTTCATTGTGGTGGGTGCTGGTTTTGGAGGGTTGGCATGCGCGCTTGAATTGCAGCGTAAAGGCTGTGAGGTCCATGTTGTAGAAAAGGAAAAGGGGCTGTCAGAGACAGGTAAGCGTGTGAGTACTAGGCAAACTGACGGTAATTGATCCTTCCATAGGCGATGTGATTATAATCACTGCCAATGGCACAACGGTTATAGAGAAATGGCCCACCGTGTGGGAAGACTTGAAGGAGACCTCATCCAAAATGGAGGCTCTTACCCTCCGTGATGATGCTGGAAAACTCCTACTTATCCAACCATGGGATGCGGAATACAACGGCCACCTAAGTGTCTGGACGAGCCGTGCTCAACTCTAGAAGGCAATGCATGCGGAAGCAATCAAGCAAGGAATCAAGTTCACATTCGGTGTAAAGGTCTCAGAATATTGGGAGGATGGCAGCAAGGCTGGAATTATCGTCAATGGGGAGAAAATTGCAGCAGATGCAGTTGTCGGGGCAGATGGAGTGTACAACAAGGCGCGAACATATGTCACAAAGACCCCAGATACTCCGAAGCGGAGTGGCTTTGCCATATACCGGTCATGGTTCCCTCTAGGCCGCCTTCTCAACGACCCTCTGACCCACGATCTTGCATCACCGGGAAAGGACGCCACTCATGTCTGGATCGGGTCAGACGCACACGCAATTGTGCATATTAATACGAGCCTACGCCATATTGGGGCATTCATCACCCACAAGGATACATTTACTGTCGAAGAATCATGGAGCTACCCAGGCAAAGTCAAAGACATGCTCGCAACTGTGGAAGGATGGGACCCAGTCCTGCGTGCTATATTTTCGAAAATTCCCGAAGATGTTCTCATCGATTTCAAACTACTCTGGAGAGACCCTGTGAAAAAATGGGTATCCGATAACAAACGAATTGTCATTATGGGCGATGCTGCCCATCCACATCTGCCAACTTCCGGCTCCGGCGCTGCTCAGACTCTAGAGGACGCAGGTGCATTAGCTGCTCTGGTAGAAAAGGCTGGCAAGGCAAAATGATCGACCGCGTTTCTGGCTTTTGAGACATTGCGGTAAGTCAGCGTACTGGCATTTACAGTACCGAGTATCTGACGAAGGTTTATTGATTTAGTTTTGAGAGAACCACAGCAACCCAGCGTTTGGGATGGGAGACTCGTCATAGATGGCACCAGACGGATTGGGAGACGGTTCAAAAAGATCCCGAGTTCATTAAGATGCCCCAGCCAGACTGGCTATACGGATCGGACGCAGAAGCCTATTCGTATGAGAACTATGATGCAGTTATCGAACACCTGGAGAAGGGGGTGCCATTTAAGAATACTAACTTGCCTCCTGGTTATTAGTATACAGATTGGTCGATTGACGGGATGATGGATATGGACAAACATGCTGGCGATGAAAATACTTACATCGTCAAATAAGCTCTCATTCGGCCTCTACATGGAGTATATCTCATCATCAGCACAACAAGATCTAAGGGAAATAGCTCAACTCGGTTCAATATACTCGAAACCTAATATAAGAGACATCTCTCTAAATTGCTCGAATGGAAAGTTGCTCATTGGAAGAATTCAGTTCACAGATTATAAGGACTATGCCTCATGATGTGTTAAAATTGATACTACACTCGCCCCTAGACGCAGTTATTCTTGCTTGGGCATCATCAACTGTACATGGTTAGCCTACTACGTCGGAAATTTAGGTATGTTGTCGTCTACTAAATCAGTCAGGTAATAGATACATCCTAGTAGGAGTTCTCTCCGGAATTACTGAGCGGAAATGTCTTTTTATTTGTGGCTAAGGCTTTTGCAACCCATTTTCAGTTTTCATTTGGATAGTCGTGTGCTCCAGGCCCATCTTTAGTGGATCATGAAAAATACTTGTTTCGGATATTTTTAATTTGAGAGGGGATCTATAAGAGAAAACGGAGGCTCCTTGCTTGAAGCCCAAAGATCCTCAGACCACACAGCATTGCTGAGATCAATTGTTAGCCAAAAGGGCTGTGTAAGCTCCATTCAGCACCCTATACAGGAAGACCAGGAGAATGCAGCATGTGGTAAGTTGGATCTGGTAGATTACTTCTTGTCCTTCCGAAAGTCCATTCCCTCATAATCCGGGAGTTTCCAATTACCTGTATCTTCGCTCATGATATGTTGAGCGAGTACGTCCAGCCTAAAGAAAGATGCAACGGAAAGGAAAAAATTAAGGACCGCCAACAAGAACGAGCCTGTTGGCATCTTGTGCCAGTAAGTTTTGTCTTTCTCAATACCGTCCTGAACGGTGCTCATGAAGGGGCGGAACCGCTCCTCATAAGTGTGCAGAGCTCTGGGAAGTTTGTCCTTGGAAAAGCGACTGAAATGATCCTGTATCTCGCCAGCCAGAACATAGGCGCCCACTAGACTTGAGGTTGTACCCATTCCCGTGGTTGCTGTAGGGCAATATGCTGCATCCCCCACAAGCCCGACTCGTCCCTGGCTCCATGAAGCCAGCCTGACAACACCCATATGCTCACAATAGAAGTCGGTTGATGCTTGTAGTTCCTTGACTAGTTCCTCTGATTGCCACCCAGCCGAGCGGAATATGTCTGTTAAGACGGCCTTTTCATCCTCTATACCGCGTTTCCGTGCCGCCATCACTCGCTCGGAATCAGTCTGGCCTACGAGGTATACCTGGACGCGGTCTGGACTGTGTCTTCGACTGAACAAGAGTCGCTTTTCCGGGGCAATATAAGCAGTTGCGTTGTATGTCTCTCCATCCTTGATCGGGCGAGGGACGGTGAAATAACCGGCGTAGACACCAAGGAAATGAATGGCGTCTTCTGCTTGAGGGCCCAGCATCTGCCTCCGAGTGCGAGACCACTGCCCGTCGGCGCCGATGAGAAGGTCGTATCGGTCCTTTTGACCATTTTCGAATCGAACCTCCACACCATTATCCAGCTGCTCAAAACCCTCGATGGCAGTCCCAAACGAAAATCGTACACGGTCTTTGATTTTACTGTACAGTAGCTGGATAAGATCACCTCGCATGATCTCGTAGTCCGTTGTGAAGCTCTGAAGCCCTTCGCCAGTCATGTTTGCAGGAAAGTATGCTACTACTTTGCCCTTGCTGTTCACAAATTCCAATCCTCGCTCTTGAACTGACTTGGCACGGAAATCTGCCTCGAGCCCCATCCGCTTCAGGACCTCAATACCATATCCGCGGATATCGATCTGTAAGCCGGTAGACCTCAAGTCACTGTAACGCTCAATGATTGTAACATCATGCTGCTGTTGTGAGAGCCAGAAGGCGAGAGCGTTGCCAGCAATGCCAGCGCCGCAAATAAGTACTTTCAGGGGAGCCATAACTGTAGCTGGTTTGAGGAGTGTATGCTCAAGAGTCACTGTAAGTAAGAAGTTAATTGTCAAGATATCGAAGCAAAATGATATTTATCTGATCTGCCAAGGCATAAGTCCAGAGCATACGAATCCATCTCGGGCAGTCGTAGGTAGTTTCGGTATCGGGCGTCGACAGGCTATCCGGCTGTAGACCCAAACCCTAATGCTAACCTTAACTGGGTTGATACTAACCCCAACTATTATAGTAAGCACTATGTAGCCAGGGTCAACACTATGATGGGAGATGGATATCGTAGGCGCATCACTGTATTAGGTATAGTTCCACAATGCGGTGGTTTATGCCTGTAGGGGCTGAATTGCGTTCTCCGGGTTGGCGCTCGAGGGCCGTTAACGGATTATGTCTAGCGATGTAAGTCGGCCGACTATCGGGGATACACGGTCGAATCGGATATGTCTTGCAGGCCATCGGAGATGCCGGGCCACGGCCGACCATAATGCTAACCAAATTCAAAAATGTTTTAAGGACCTGTTAGGGACCTGTTTGGTGTCGCAGTTCGGCGATCTATTGGAGACAATGGTGTTAGCCAATTTCGGCCACCACATTCACAAAACCCGTTTCCAAAATCTATGTATCCATTAGGTTGAGCATCAGAGCTAAGACAGTTAGAGATTGGGCTATCGGGACCTTTGAATCTATTTCCAAGCTATCCTGAACGTGTTAACAAAACTTGGTTAGTGCTACATCAACGCCGCAGTCTCCGATCACCCGATAACATGCGGACGCGCCATATATATGCGCAACGTCATGCAGGTTGAGGTGAATGCCATGTGGAACTATTGGTCATGTAGAATCAGAAACTTCCAGTCAGGGCCAAGAGTATTTCGGATCACGGAACAGCCAAATGCCGGATTTTGATTCTGCCACATGCTGGTCTAAATAGAATATCTCGCTCGAACCTGACAGAAACCCTTTTTGAATGATTTCCGGGCGTTATATCGTCCAAAACTCATTTTACAAATAAGATTGTAGACGCTTTTCACTGCAACATAGGCTGCATTCCTATCCTCCCCTTTAAAGACCAGTCTCGCAATTCTTCGCTTACAACATAAAGGGAGTTGGTTGTTCATCAGATTTCCAAGCAAGTGTTTTCCTATCATGGTGATCAATCGCCTGAACGAGCATTTGCCGCTTGCATTATGAGTCCTCGATTGATAGTTGTGTGTGAAGAAGTAGCACAGTTGACAAACTTGGTTTTTTCGCAGCCCACGCAGTCCAATTCAAGCCAGCTCCATAGACAAATCGCAACTCTCGGCTCCACGGCGGCCGACCCCCTTAGTGGGCAGTATGTCCCCGGTCAAAATGACGTCCTGTGTGAAAGTGTTCTGGAATTCCAAGCGGACGGAAAGATTAGTCACATATAAGTATAGTAGCTTTCTAGTGTGTAGAGGACACCAGCCACTCACTACTGCCGTCTGCGCCATTGGGGCAGCAAGCGTCTACAAAGACCCTGGCCTCGTGTGCAAGATTCAAAGCTGCCCCTACCATCATACATGAAAGGCGATCGCACCGTTTGTCTCGATCTAGGAGATCTTGCTCGCACGTTGCCGCACTTGATTGCTCTCGATTCTCCGATGACCCTTCATTAGGGCCTTTAGGTTCTCTGCCTTCCCACAAGTCACTCTGGGAAGAGCAGAATAGGGATCGTAGGGATCGGAGATGCCATTATGAGAGCAGCAAAAGGCTGTAGATTGTACCCAGAGTGCGATTTTTCCTCAGATGTTTTTCTTGGCCGTACATGAGCAGTTGAATGAGACGCTTACATTGCTGCCAGAACCGATGATGAATGAGATAGCTCCGACCTAAGTCTCCAAGTCCTGGTAGGGTAAAGAAGCGTGAAGCAATCATCAAAATGGTCCTGCAGAGCATCCGTTCTTGCGCGATGCGGGCATGTCGAGATCTGCTAACTTCTATCTCGCTTATAAAGGCAGGGCAAAAAGGGGCGAGATGGCGATGAAATCTGTCCAGGGTTAGTTACGTACAGTAATGCAGTCAATGAAATTCACAATTCCAAGTAGGTCAACACCTCTTGAGCTGTAAACCAGCCTGGCTGGACAAAGGGGATCTTGCTACGTATACCAGTTGCCTCATCGTCTGCTTGGGACAATTCATACACGATTGGTGGGTGCCACAGCTTAAAGTACTCGTCGCGCTGCTGAGGCTTTGGATGTGTTGGTGGTGGGGACAATGTGGCTGGGCTGCCGGACCCGTCTCCCTGAGAGGACCGTGGCTTGTCGAAGAAGACTAGCGCTTCATTCAAACTCTTCTCCATATATGGACCGTTACGTTTTGCCTATCATTTAAACTTTTGTAGTGGTAGTAATATCTCACGCAGCATGGCCCAACCCTGCTAGCGAATGGCCCTACTTGCGTTGAGGTGCAAGGCCTTTGGATTAGGGACGCAATAAAAATTGCTGAGAGAGAGGGACTGCTGTATGTGAATCCCACACAAGAGGCGAGCAAGCAGTGGAAGAAACGCATCAATGAACTCAACGATGCCAGTCTTCTGCCGACGACGCAGAGTACATATATGGGCGGCAGCATGCCTGGCAAGGTGTTTGAGGCAATTAGCTATGCCGGGGGTGTTCCTGCTTACATTCAGGAGATTCGCACAGTATTACCAAATTGGGTTGGATTTGAGACTGTGAAGGCTTGAAAGGCTTAGCAAGTCTGTTAACAAGAACGTTGCGAACTCGAGACCCGTTGCGAACTCTGTGATTATTTATTGTCTCTTTTTCCTATCAAATACCAGGCGTATTTTTCATTGGGCTGGTAATCTTCTAATCTGGCTCCGTAGCCAGAATAGCAGTCCTTTCATTAGAAGCTTATACACCCATTTGCGTATAGGACATGATGTTAAAGGTGATACGTGTATCTCATCTTGGCAGTAAGACGATAGATAAGGATTGTTTTGATGAATAATGTAGGTTTTTCTTGTTGAGAAGTGTAAGGTGAGGTTACGAATGACCTAGATCTTACTCTATACCGGGTTGCAGGAAGGAGATGGCCTTTTTGTATACGAAAGTTTCTCTATTCTTTACATTAGTGCTGTTACATATGTGAGCATTCTGAAAGGAGGTCGTACTCAGAGGAAATGTGACGATATCCTAGAAAACGGATGCTTAGCAAAAGGGATATTATAGACTAAGCTAGCTGCCGCGATGCAGAATGCACGGCGTTCCAGTATCCATAGTCTCTAGTAGTAGTAGTCTAAGTTCCTTAAAATAGAACGTAGCCGAAGAGGTCAAAGGATTGGTTCTTCTTTTCCTTTTGGACACAAGGGTATTTCGTACCAGAAAATATACAAACGAGTTTTCGTTTACTCCTTTTTCAGTACATCAACAATCCACTGGACGGCTTGCTTTGTTTCAACTAGCCCGTAAGGCATAGTGAGGATGAAGCAGTGCATTTGCTTCTCCCAGTGCACCCATTCGCCCTTGACGCCTGCTTGGGCACATTTCTCGCGGAAGAGAATGCCGTCTGGACTCAATACGTCGTGACCAGCAGTTATTCCATGGACCTTGATGCCACTCTTGGCGAGCAGCGAGATGTCGGCGTTGATGGGAGAGATGCGTCGATCGGCAGGATCCCAGTCCCCTTGCCACGCCTTTGCAGTCCCTCTGATCATGTCTGGTGTGAGAAGAGGGTCTTTGGGCGCGATATTGTTGATGTCTGGGTTTTTGCGGGTTAGGTCGGTGGATGCGCATACGATCATGATAGCGATGGGATGTGGGGTTTGCTTGAAATCTAAACCTTCCCGCGCGTTATCCTCTTGCAAAGCCTCAAGAGCTAGACACAGGATGATGTTTGCGCCTGATGAATCGCCTGCCAGGATGACCCTCTCGCCCGCCTCTTCGGCTTCCGTCATGAGGGCACGATATGTCTTCTGGCACAAGGGGAACGAACTTGGTGCAGGGTCGTTGGGTGCAAGCGGAGTTGACACAATGGACACAGAAGTATCGGTCATGTCTTTAGCTAGCTTTGCGCATAACTTGTAATGCTGTGGAGAAGGCGGCTCCTGCCAACTACCTCCGGCAAAGTAGTATATCCGCTTCTTGGAGCTTTTCTCGGACTGGTTTGGTGGCACAAGGTCGTAGATGTACAGATCGCACACAGTACGTTCGCGGAGAGTGCAGCCAGATAGGTACGAGTTGGAGGGCTTTAGTCTGATGGAGCCATCTTCGTGTTTGGGCGTGCGATTGCTAATGCGAGAGCGTGTCAGCCGGACCAATGACTGGACTATGGCCATGAGAAAAGTACGGTCATGGCGGTGTGCAAGCTGTATCGAAGAGCCTGGCTTGGTCGCCTCAGTGGTGGTTTCGCCGTCTGCCATGGTGAATGTCTGCAATATCTATAGTTATCGTCCAGATATGCACGGCGTTAGGTTGCAGGGAGACGAAGTGTGCAGGAACCGAGCAGGCATCGTCGATGCTTGGAAATTTTGCGCTTTACATGCACTGGACTATTCATTGTTTTGGAGGAAGACGGCATCAATGACGTCGTGGCGCCGCTTTTCAACCTTGATTGGGAGACGCTGGACCGATACAGGAAAATCTGACCTCTCCGGCGGATCTGAAGTCAGCACAAGCTGCAAGGTGTCGTTCGACAGAGGGAGCTGTTGCTGGGTATGCCAATGCCAATGCTGCGGGCGGATAATGTCTTCTGTGGCTGCGCGTGAATGAATGACGATGCCTTGCACACCCAAGATGGCGCCACACCTGTGCCAAGCCCAGACCTGCCCTAGCCTTTCTAGGCCTGTAGCGCCACTGCATGAACAACAGCCACTTTCACCTGGGCATACGTCTTGGCCTCGAACGATACAACAGGCGGAAATGGCTGCCGCGACCTGATCCCGCTCCGCCAGCTGGGCCAACTGTTCCCGTGGGGGCCGTCTTGGGTTTCTTGTCCTCTTGGCTCCTTCGTTCCACCTCATCTTACTGGTGGCGCTTTGCCTATTTAACTCCCTTTGCAAACCGTCTGCCTTGGCCTACGTGGGCCACCCAAGACATGCAAAGCAAACGACCTCAACAAGGAATATGATAAGGGTGACTGCTCCCGCGCTGCGCATGCGCTGCCTCGTCCAGAAATTGCAAATCCGCAGATCCGCCTCCTCACCATCGCCATAGCTTAATGACTTCGCAAAACTTTCTCACCGACGAGGAAATCAAGCACTTTATTGACGATCTAGACCACGACAATGACGGCAGCATCAGCTACTGGGAACTGGAACGAAAGCTGGATCAGGTCCACAATGAGATAGCACCCAAAGCCCAGCCGCACAACCTACATCATGGATCTCGCGGTGACGAGGCTCGCCATGAATTTCTTAGGCAAGTCATTGGTACGCGCGAGGACCGTATCGATCGCGACGCCTTCGCAAGGACCGTAAAGACTTGGGAGATTCCGTCGTTGGAACAAGACCGCAAGGAAGCGAAGAATGAGAACGACTACCTGAAGCACATTTCCCTATATCGACGAGCCCGCGCCTACTGGGCTGTCAAAGGACCAGAAATACTGTTCCTCACAGTTGTCTTCATCCTGATGATCGGCTTCGGGGTCTGGCAATTCGTCAAGTATCTCACCTTTGACCAGTATACCCCTGCCTTTGGATGGGGAGTCGTCCTGTCCAAGACCTCAGCGGGCGTGCTATACCCCACCTTCTTCTTCCTCATCCTCTCCATGTCCAGGTGGCTTTCAACCTTCCTCCGGCGCTTCTACTTTATCTCGAGATTCATCAACTGGGACCTATCTCAGTCATTCCACATCAAAATCTCGATCGTCGCCCTAGTCGTCGCGACACTGCATGCCATTGGCCATCTTAGTGGTTCTTTCGTCTTTGGTAGCATGAGGAGCCGGCAGGATGCTGTTGCCAATGTGCTTGGACAGGACGCTGTGCCCCGTTCTTACACCACCTACCTGCGTACCTTGCCAGGCTGGACTGGACTTACAACACTTGGCCTTTTCTATCTTTTGGCAGCACTAAGCATGCCACAAGTTCGAAAGTGGAGCTACGAGGTCTTTCAACTCGGTCATCTGCTCATGTTTCCCATCATTGGCTTCATGATGGCGCATGGAACTGCCGCCCTTTTGCAGTGGCCCATGTTTGGATACTGGCTTGCTTTCCCCACACTAATGGTGCTTTTTGAGCGCATCTGGCGCTTGATCCTGAGCTTCCGCCCTATCCTTGCTGATCTTGAGTTGCTCGACGACGAGACTGTCGCCATCACAGCCCAGGATCCCAAGACCCGTCCTTGGGATTACAAAGCTGGCCAATACGTCTTCGTACAGGTGCCGCAACTGTCCCGATTTCAATGGCATCCATTCACCGTTTCGACCTGCACTCACAATAACATGCAGGTCCATATTAAGGCCGATGGAGACTGGACGAATAAGCTCCGCGACTTGGCAAAGGAAGGGGGACGGAACACTATCAAGATCGGATTAGACGGGCCATTTGGTGCACCTGCTCAGCGATTCTATGATTTCGACTATAGCATGGTTTTTGGGTAAGGTTTCGAGACATCACTTTACATAACTCGCGTACTAAGATTCCACAGCGCCGGCATCGGTGTCACACCCTTTTCCGGAATCCTGACTGACCTCCAATACCATGAACTGGAGCAAACCAAGTCTAAAGAAAGCTCGCACGGTTCCTCAGACGAAACCAACCAACAGTCATCGCCATACACAAATCATCGTCGCATTGACTTCCACTGGATGGTCCGCGATAAAAACAACCTCCTCTGGTTCTCCGACCTTCTGAACGAAGTTTACCGCGCCAACCCCGAGTGCCCGGACCTTGATATCCGTATCAACACCTACGTGACACAAAAGCGCAAGCAAATATCCCAACACGTCTTCAGATGGCTGCTGGAAAAGCATCGCACGCCCGAACATCCGCAGTCACCCATCACCGGCCTTGTCAACCCCACGTATTTCGGACGCCCGGATATTCGTGGCATCATGGAGCAACACTACGACGATATGAGCAAGGCATTGGCAGAAGACATGAATGAGAAGAACAGAAGCAAAGACGACGGAATCAAAGTTGGAGTCTTTTTCTGCGGCCCGCCCGTTATTGGGCAGCAGATTGCCGATCAGTGCAGCACGCTGAGTGCGAGGGCGCGCAGCGAGGGCAGGAAGATTAGGTACCAGTTTATGATTGAGGTCTTTGGCTAGCTTCTATTCTGTTCATCTGCAAGACTTGAAAATCCCCGCACGACTTTGCATCTAGTTGGCTTCGATACCATGCTCTGTGTATTAAGTAGGATCAAAAAATATAGGATAATACTCGCTGTGAATTGTACATGACTTGGTACCATGAGTAATGATGGCCTTGGCTGAAAGCCTGTAGAAAATTGCGCTTAAAAATATAAAAACTAGCCGCGGCCTTTTGTGTATTAATCTGGAGACTTTTGATTTTTATTTTCTTAATTTTTATAGACTAATCATAGGTGTTAAAAGCTTATTTTAAATTTAAATATAGTTAAGTAATTACTAATTAGTTTATTGAGGCTATAATAAAACTTATCTAATACGCCTACTAATATCACCTGTAAAAAGTTAATTAAAATTATTGAAAGTACTTGTAACATATAATGGTATAATTAGATTTATAGTTTACAAGTCTAATCTATAGAATAAGGCTTTTAGGATTATATTATAAGTGCTTGAAAATATATATTAACGTCAAAGTATAGCGAGTGGCCGAGAATAGCGAGTGACCGAAAATGCCAAGCCCCCATCAACCTCACCACCATTGCGCAACCATTACAGCGCAACAACAACAGTAAATTGAAATTAGAAAAGGCTAATCTATTCAGAATTAACCTCTTCATCTTGCTTGCAGGTGCGCGAGTTGTGTCCAGTCTCACCGCAGCGTCTACAGCGCCTTTGCGACGGTTCGCCTACTTCAGCGCTCTCTCCCTTCTTTGCCTTCTTCCCACTACCACGCGCCCTAGACTCCTTTAGAGTTGCTAGTTTCTCTCCTTCTTTAATTGTTAGGGTCTCTCCTTTCTGTAGCCGCTTTCTTTTGTGTGATCTCCTTTGCGTGGCGGCTTCATTCGCTGCTTCAAGCTTAGAGACCCGTTTCTTGACTAACACCAACTCATGCGCAATAGTAGTCGCACCTTTAACTAGGTTTTCAACAGCACCTAGCATACTTGTTAGTGAACTATCTAGGTGTATTTGAATCCTCTGCTTCACTAGCGTTGATTGCAGCCCTATTTCTAGGGTGTTGCTTGGGGTTTGCGACTGCTAGTGTAGATTTTTAGCAGCAGGTGGTAAAGGGGTGCGCAGCTTAACATCTAGCTTTGATGTCACCACCTCTGGGTCGTGTGGAACCAATCCGGCGCCTCGAAACTCTCCTAGGATATTATCCTTTGTAACTGTCTGAAAATAGGCTTGCTAGAAGGCTGGCAAGAACTCTATCTTGGTTATATGGTTGATCCCATTGCGCATCAGCTCCTCGGCTTAGCGCCTATATGCCCTCTTCAAAGGCGAAAAACACCCCACATCAAGAGGCTGCAGTAGATGGGAAGAGTGCGGAGGCATACATAGAGTAACAATCTTTGCTTCTGTGCAGTATTGCTGGAAGTTGACTAAGTTGTGGCTCTCATGACCGTCTAGAATGAGTAGGCGATAGGCTCCAACAGTACGCTCTTTTGTATGCCTGTTATAGTGCTCTAGCCACTTCATACCAAGCTCGTTTGTTGTCCAGCCATTCTCAGAGACTGCGAGAACCCAATCCCTAGGCAGGCTGTCTTCCTTGTACTAGGCAGAGAGGTGGTGCTTGCCCTAAAAGATGATGAAGGGTGGGATCGCCCAGCCAGCTGCGCTAACACAAACTACGCTAGTAACCCACTCTTTATTGCCCTGCTGTAGAGATTTTAGCTTTAATCGACGATTAGAGGCTGTAACTACTGCTGACGAGTTGTGCATGCCTATTATAAAGCCCGTCTCGTCAAAATTGTACATGTTGTTGTCCTGGATCCTATACTTGGCTTTGGTATTCTGTATAAGGCGGAACTAGCCCTGCACAAGCTTAGGATCTTCACAGAGGGCTCTCTTGTAGTCGTACTTTCGATTAAACTTCATCTTAAGCTCTGGGCGACGCTTTATGAATGCTTTAGGCCAGTTAGGGCCAACAGGGTCGCGGTGGCGGGCAGCTAGCAAAGAATTAGCTAGATCTTTGACAGCAGAAAGGCGCAGCGGAAATCCTCTTGCATCAAGATCAAGAATATTCTTGACAATTACCTCCTCTTCTGTTATAAGTAGTTTTATTGAGTTAGGCGAACAATCTTGTCAAGAAGGCTTTCCTGCAAGTCTTCGTCTTAGGGTACGTTCAGGCACGTTGTAGAGAGCTGCAGCGCGTGGAATGTTAATTGTCGCGTCGCATTTAATAGCCTGAATTGCAAGCTGTACTTAAGACTCTTTTGAAGACTTTTTTGAATGAATTTGTTGAGACATCGCGAGTAGTAGTGAAAGTTGATGGGGGCTTGGCATTTTCGGTCACTCGCTATTCTCGGCCACTCGCTATACTTTGACGTTATAAGAAATTTTATAATCTTGTTATTGGAAAGAAGCTGGTATAAGTTACCTACTATAATAAGGTTACAAGCCCTGCCAAATACTAGAAGTATAATAAAGTTAGACTAGGATAACTATCGACTATAGAATAATAAGGCCTGCTATCAATGCTATATTTCTGCCTTAAAAACTTAAGTTTAGTTTAGACATAACTTTATTAAATATTTATTAAAATAGTCTTAATAAATAGCTTGTGTAATAGGCGGGCCCAACGGGCCGAGCGTACGACTACTTACGCCGTCCAAGCGCCAAAAAGGCAGTAACAAGACTTCAAGCTTGTCTTGAAGTCCAGGTAGTCGTATAGATATACTCAATCACACACACTTTAGGCGTAGCCTCTTATAGCTTGGTGGATTTTGAATATTTTAATTTTAAGCTTATAAGTAGTTTATAGAATTGAGCTTCTAAGATCTTATATACCTTTATTCACTTTACAGGAATTCTATATCTATGTAAGGGGCTACGCTCCGTGGAGCAAACGCCTAGGTATACAAGGATTGTATTTAATAGAGAGCTATTTACTCTACTTTGCGTAGTGTTTATTTACTTATTAGTGTAATGGGCGGGCCCAACGGGCCGAGCGTACGACTACTTACGCCATCCATAGCCAAAAAGGCAGTAACAAGACTTCAAGCTTCTTGAAGTCTAGGTAGTCGTATAGATATACTCGATCACACACACACTTTAGGCGTAGCCTCTTACAATTAGAGAAAGGTTATGCTAAGTGCTTATACGCGTTGTCTAAGCGCTACTTAGGCAACGCGTAGGTGCTAGGTTATAGGGGTATAACCTAGCGTTTGTTATTTAAGCGTTGCTTAAGCAATAATACTAAGACTCTATTAAGGAGCTATCTACAGGGCGCTTAGCCTATTATAATACCTCCTCCTTAGGCTAGAGTTGCACTATCTCTTTAGAACCCTTTCAAAAGGCAGCCTTTACTATCTTATTTTGTCTCTATAAAGGCCTTTTATTAGTTTATTACTTCTACGTCTACTAGTAGGTCTACTAGTTTAAGCGTTATTTAGTATAAACTTCTTTATTTTACTTTATAGTATAGCTTATACCCTCTTTTATAGTAGCGTACCTTTTCTGCTATAATATCCTCTACCTTCTATTTATCTTCTTTATCTACTTATGGTAGCTATAGCTGTAAGGGGCTCGACCCCGGAGGGTAGTCTTAAGCTCGGGAGCACGATCGGACAGGCCAAGGTAACAAGATTGTATTCGATAGAGAGCTAAGCTCTCGGCTACGTAGCTATCTATATACAATGCTGGTTGCTAGGGTAACAATCGGGCCGGGCAGGTGGAGTAAACGAGGTCGTAGACGAGTATGGGAGGCGAAGGGCGTTTAGCCCGTTACAA